GGAATGGATTGAATTATCCCGTTGTTTTTATTTTGATTGAAATTCAATTAGTTTTAGTTGGTATATGTGCATCCTATGCAGATTGTCTCGATCTAGCCATTGTAACATGAGTTAGTATAGAATAGATGGAATGTGGCTAGCAATGGAATCTAGGATACTCATCCTAAATAGGATGAAACACACCGACTGGATTTCACTGCTAACCGCATTCCATTTATTCTGTACCAACTAGTTATGTATCTATTGAATTTTAATTAGTTGAACTGTTCACTCTTATTTTACATAGAGTTCTTATATAAACTATTAAGCAAACATTCGGTTATTTATTTACCCCGAAGAAATGGCTCACATTAAGTCACAAAACGTCAGAGATACAATTTTCTACTTATTGGGAAATTACAAAAAATATATTTATTATTGTTAACATAATTAGTTTTCCTGAATTCTTGTGTAATAAAACTGAATACGTTTTGTCCGTTTGGTTGGACTTAATTTACATACACTAGATTGTTTATTTCAGCTGTTAGTTGAAAAAAAGCACTTACAATGCAGATTGATATATCTATTGATAACTATCAATTGTGAAAACTTTTTCAGGTTACGATAATATATTAGATTTTTATATTCTAACTAATTTACCTACTCTTAATATCATTGAATCGGATTTGCACAAGTTAAATACTATTTGGGAAGTTAAGCTAATTAATTAGAATAGAAATCTTCAGTAATTAAAATAACTAAGATTCGAAGCATCTTCAATTAATGAATCCCTTATGAAACATATTAAAGATCATGATTTGAATAATTCAAATGTCAATTTCAAATCGACCAATATGATATGAGTTCAATCTTAAGCATCTTGTTAGTATACTTTATTAATTTCTGTTCACTTATATTTCTCCTATTTATTTGATAATTTTCTCTCTCTTGTCACACGGCATAGATATTTGAGTCAATATTTTTTCGGTTCAAAATACAACGTTCTTGTGATTGCCTTCATGTGTGTTAGTTTTAAGAACTTCTGTAACATGATGATAAACTCTACACCTTAATAATAAAGTCATTTTTGTGAATGAATGTTAGAATGACTTATTTTACTTTAACTGAGTACGTCTGAGTTCATTGTTATTATTATTACTATTAGTAGTAGTGTTAGTATTACTATTATTAAACACATAAGAAGTAATATGCTTATTTCTTATTCAAGTTTTTTTTGAAATTTCAGTATCCCTTTTTTCTTGTTTTCCATTTTAGTTTGTTAATACATATACATTTTATGTGAAATACGTTGATAAAATGGTCTTCACGACATATTTTTACTTATATACGTATGTATTTCTGCGAAAATAGATTGTATTAGGAAAATATTGATTTTCAGATCTTTGTTTCATAAAAATTTCATCGCTTTTGTTTCCATTTTATTCATCTGTTCAATTCATTTATGAAGTACGAATTCGTGTACTTAACTTCGAGTCACATTCTAGATCTAACAGCTAGTGATATTACAGGGTTACGTAAACCAATGTAGATGGGATAAAGTTCGAACCTGTGACTTATTAGTCAGAATTCGTACACCTTAATCACTGAGCTATCAATTCGTTTGATTTTGTTATTTGTTACATGAAAAAAGTAGTCAGTGTTTTTTCAACAAATCAGTTACTTTACCTAAAAATATACAAAAATATATGTAGTTAAACTTTATACACATATGCATCCATCAATTAATTATAGGTTTTAATGATCTTAATTAATGTAACATTCTATAGTTTTGCATCTGACCTAAAAACGTAATGTTGTAGAGTTTAACCAATAACGTTGATGTGGATGAGTGAATCTTGAAGGTAGAGAGAGGAATAAAGAAAACATGAATCGACAGCTCAATAGACACAAAATGTACTTTTATCTAGTACCGTACTACAATTGACTAAATGTGGTGATTGACAAGCGTAAATTCAAGATTATCTGTCTTGTTATAGAAACTTGAAATGGATAGAATAACATTTCAAATTTATTAAAATATTAATGTGATATAAACAGTTAGTTCTTTCGTTTCAGAATATTCTCACGAAAAAAATTGTATTAAACACAAGTTTAACCTTGAAAATGATGTTTTACGGTCTAATCACGTGAATTTACTCGACTGAATTATAAATGAACTTATATTCTGTAAATTGGTTGGATAATTTTCAAACCCAATGGTTTTATGTTATCATATTTTCTTTTCGGATATAGTTTTTGTCAGAAATCAGCTTGCTATTCTATCTATGTGTTTGCCTTCATCTATCTTTGTTTGGCATAGAAATGTCCTAAAAATTTGATAAGCAGGAATGGTTAAAAAAGACAATATGAGTTGCAAACCACTTATATAAATTTTTTTGTATACACTTCTTCATGAAATCAATGTCATCAAACTACTTAGACAATAAGTGTGTACTCTTTTATTTTTCAGAATAAAGCCAAAATAACAACTAAGGCTGAATAATATGAATTCATTATATTTCGTGGTTTCTCATTTTAGCTGCTTACAGCCATATATGTATTGAAATGTAACATTTGAGGTGAGATATAATGTGGAAGAACAGATATGAGACCATTTAGAGATCGAGTTCCAAAAAAATAGAAAGAAGGAATATAAGGCAGTATTATCAATTGCTTTACATTACATCTTACCTCAATGTTACATTTCATTACATATATGGTTGTAAGCAGCTGATGAGGAACCACGAAATATAATAAATTTATATTATTCGGCCTCAGTTATTCTTTTGGATTTATTCGAATTCATAAAATAAAACCGATTGCTCGAAATTTCTGAAGAGATTGAGGGAGCGAGAAAAGGATAGTATTGTATGGTATAATTTTGGCTCCGATTACAGATACTAATAGAAAAACTCGATTTTCATTCCTTCGCAAAGTATTATTGTTTTCGAAGCACTGCTCAATTTCGGTGTAATCATCAACAAATGAGTAATGTTGTCAGACGTAGTAATTTAGTAAATCGATTGTCCTTGTTGTCATTCTGTATCATCCTTTTAAATCTTGGATTATTATGTTATTGTACATTTCTGATTTATTAATTTTATTCATACCTCTGATCTATATTTCCTATGATTGCTTTTCTCTACTATCCGTCTTATTCTTTTGATTTTTTCGTTCCTATTTGTGGTGAGTGAAGTTTCGCAACTTGAAGTGAAACTTATTTTTATCTGGTCATATGTTTTGTACATAACTTTGATTTTTAACGTAATTTAGAATTTTATAGCTGCTACTGATAAAACTCATACATTTTAGTTCATTATTACTTAGTCTTTCAGTGTTATTTGAGCTATTTGTGCACAAACTGTTATGGTAAGGTTTTTGATGATATGATGCGATGAGATTTTCGTTTTTAAAAATCAATCTACAGAATGCTAACCGACAAATAAACACAGTGATATGATATTGCAGAGTAATGGCTACTCGAGAGACCATATTATTGACTTAATGTCCATAAATGATTAGAACTCAATTGCAAGACCATTAGACAGGTGGATTGTTCTTTATGTAATAAAATGACATACATCGTGAATACGAACACAATAATTGTGATAAAATACCATAATTTATTAAAGGAATTCAACTTGTAGGTCAATCAATTAAGAGTTGACTGTCAGACCTCATTTTTGTGCATCGTTTCATAAATTGACAATTAATTATTCAGCTTTTATTCAAATTACGTCAAAGTGTTTAACAATGAATTCCTCTACTGAAATCTAGTTCGATGGAACTCTGTAAATCATATTTTTTGGTTATGCATTTCCGTACATCAACAAAAATTTGAAACTGACAAAAAGCGTTAAACTTTGAATATTTACTTATTCTATTAGTATAAATGTAGTAATTTAAACAATTTCTGTAGCTTTTTAAAGTGTTTTTTCTTGAAAACTAAATGCGAATTATAAATTCGTAGGATCTCATTTTTTGAGAAAAACGTTTTGTGTACTCTTATTTAAATTAATGTTAGTGTGGTTGGTAAAACTGTATTTTACTGTCTGGGCATTGAGGTTTAAGATGGCGACCCTTGGAATTTTGCTTGAGATTCAGAACACAGTGATAGAGAGCGTGCATTTTGTTAAAGTCTAAGTAAATACAACCAATATTTAGGCAATAGAATGATTAGGACGGATAAACACGAGAAATATTAGGGATAGCGTTGCATGATCCATACATTTTGAAGATAACCTATACGGTTTTAAATACTTAAAATCAAAGAACTAACTTTATAAATATCCATCCATACTTGGAATTTACTTACTCGATTTTTTATCATTGCTCATATCCTTTAACACCTCATACTAACTGTGATTTTCAAGCCATACTCTAACTCCGAATCCTAAGCGAAACTCATAGACTTTCTGTTTTTTGCATTGAGATGTTGATTTATATCACCACGATTTTTATTGTTTAAAAGTCAGCATTTCTTTCCCAAGGTTACTTTACTGGTCTTTACAGACTACTTTAATGCTGTAATTTAATTGTGTAATGGTAACGTTCAAACTTTCAGCTTAGCGTTGTGCATCGTTAAGTGTACGCTAATCATTAAACTATCCATCCATTGTATTGCGCATTTAAAAACACGAATTATATTGTTTTTTCTCTGTGAATTCTTTAGGATTAGTAACTCTTAAATAAAAACTGAAAGATTTTGTGTAGTATCAATTTTTAATTGTTCACAAGGATATATTACAAAAAAACTAGAAAAAAAAGTACAGTAATATAAGCAGTAGAAGTAAAACATTAGTTCTAAATTTAATTTCATGGAATCTACAACCCTTCATATACATTGAGTATATATATTAGTCAATGCACTATTCACCATTCGCTTGTATACACCGAGTTCAATATCTTGTTAAGTTATCTTTTTTAATCTTGAATGAAAGTTTGTATATAGTAATTAATATAGTTTTTATTCTAAAAATATTTTATTTTATAAATCTTTTCCATTTTTTCCCTATTAATAGATCTATGGAATTGCTTTTAGTCCAATGGGACAATTTTTTGTTACAGTTGGTGTACGTTATGTTCGTTTTTGGTATTTAGAAAATAAACGTAGCAAAGTAAGTGTTTTTGTAATTTTGGTCACTATATATGCAGTGGCAATATTCAAAAAAATAATTGTCAGTTGAACGTAAATAATCAAAAGTAAAATGGCATTTCTTGAAGAACTTTATTTTAGAAATCGTTATTACGATGTTACCTTTTAATGAATTTCAATGGTTTAATTGATTAACTAATATACCAAGCATAGATTTATGTATTGAGCGTTGAATTATTTTTTAATTAGAAATTGTCGGTTATCTAAGCCCCGAACTAGGTAGTTGTAGATTCGTAAGTGTAACCTACCTGATTGGAATCTATAAATTTTTGTCATTAAACTACCGTTCCACTTAAACATTTTGGTGATCTTTCATAATGATTCATTTTTTAAAAATCTTCATGTTAATATTTTACATCAACTAAGCTTATTAGCTTGTATTTAAGTGAAGAGAAAGCAACAATATTTAATTAATTCATTGTAGCCTACAAATATCGTGAACCTTGTTTTATTTCACATTTGTAAAGGAAACTAATCACACGAAAAATATTGATTTACTAATTACATAATTATGGATTTTTTTCTGAATTATTGAAAACACTCCTCATTCACTGACATTACATGAATACTGATCTCCTTGAAGAATGAAACTTACTATTAATTGGAAGTACGAGCGTTCTTAGAAATTCATGCTTTTTATGCTTGAATAAATTGCTTCCCGAGTGCAGGGCTGTGGACGTGTAGTACTAAGGAGTCCCATAGCAAAACGAGATGGCCTTTCAGTTCTTTCAGAATTTCAACTCGTGATCTAGCTAAGAATCAGTTCGTAATTTAAACGGTGAAAATTCTACGCGCTCCGCAAATCCCATACATTAACATAATAATTGCGTCTCTAAGTGTTTTAACGAGTTCTTCAACTTTCTGTAATTCTGTTAATATCTTATCGACTTCATTACGACTAAAATAGTTAATTTTCCCCGGTTTATTTCATTAAAATGATTTTAATACAGTTGACTTTAAATGTTTTGTATTTTTGATGTTGTAAGGAATTATTTGCAATGGTAAAACATCTGTAGAATTTTTCCAGCTATATCGCCTTCTACACAAATTTCCTTTATTGAGTGACTCCCATTAAATTATTAGATTTATTGAAGTTTGAATAAGGAGATTATCTTTCAAACAATTTTTGGATGTATGATTATAGCACTTAGTGGTATTGTTTGAATGTCTATTAATAATTAGGATATATTGGATTCTATTTTCCTCTAGTACAACGTACCAGTACGCATTGATAACTTCAGAATAAAATTTGAAAAATTCCCATATTGTGATTTAAAACAACATATATAAGCGAACAATATTGTTTTCGATTAGATCCTCATCAGGCTTCACTCTAATATACAATAATCTTTATGTGCATATGTGAAATTAATAAACCGGTCAATTACGTGTGAAGAGAAACTCGATAATAAACTACATTTCCTCGGAGTTTTGTTGAACAGAAAAGAAAACGGTTCTATCAGTAGAAGTGCGTATAGGAAAAATTCTTCACCAAGCCAATGCACACATTTTTCGAGCTTTGTTCCTTTTCATTATAATAGAGACCTAGTCAAATGTCTTGTAAATAGAGCTAGGAAGATATGCTCATTTGATACAATAAATAAGGAATTAGAACTTATACATAATATGTTGATGGGAATGGGTTATCCACAAGGTTTCCTGAAGAAATACTTGCATGTAACAAACAAGAAAATAGTGACATTAACAGCTAGTAAGAAACCCCTCTTTCTGAAGCTGGAATTCAATGGAGATGTCGTTGGTGATGTGCTACGTGATAGACTGACTAGACCAGTTATGAGAACGTTTAATGCAGCTAACATCTGTCTATTGTACTCGACCCGATCTGTGATGATTCCTCAACTAAAGGATAAGTGACCTCGTCATGCCATTTCTATGAATATCTACGAATTCAGCTGCTCCTATGGAGAAAGCTATATTGGGCGTACTACCAGGCAACTGAACCAAAGAGTTAATGAACACCTCCCTTCGTGGTTTGGAAAAGGTAATGTCAAGACAATACACAGCTCGGTTCTATCACACTTTATCGATGGCAGTCACTTAGTAGACACAAATACGTTATTTAAAGTTATTTGTCGTATTCCTATTAGTTTCTCTTATGGATTCGATCTTGTCTCTTACACATAGCAGTAGCTACAGAAATTCGAGCTAGTAATCCAAGTCTTTGTGTTCATAAGAAATTTGTAACACCTTTATTTCCCTCTCGACCCTATCAACTGATTTTATTTATTATTATTTTCAATACTTTTTCGTTTGTTTTTCTTCACTCTCTTCCACCCTTTTCTTTTCTCAAATATACGCTTCACGGTCCAATAATCTGGACGCTTATTACGTAATCTTATGATTTTTTAAAATGTGATTTCAGTGTCTATATTTTCTAATCATTGACTTATTTCCCATTATGAAACATTGATTCAAGCCTTTATTATTCTTATCGCAACCAGTACGTCTGTCATCGCACTACCGATTTGTACCTTTCACTTATTATCTTAATTTATGTAATCTGTTCCACTGTTATCATTGACTTCAGATTAGACAAAAAAACTAGTCTCCATCACGACGATCATATGGTACTTTAAAATTTTTGGGCTGAAATTCGAACATCTCTATTTGTTATTAATATGCGTATGTCGTAGCAATATATCGTTTAACTAAACATAATGTCTTCATTAAACGGGTATTACACCAATTGAAGTGAAATGTGAGGTGATATGTACGAAGTTAGGGTAAGTCAGCACTCATTATAATCGTAGCAACAATACAAACATTACGTATACGATTGTTCTCCACTTTTCTTCACCTTTATTTTTTCATTTTAACTGATAGATTCGTGAAACTCTACCACTTCATGGAAGAAATGCTATTTTAGGCGATATGTTCAACAGTGTATTTACTGATGTATGTTGTGTTAATTCTTCGTCGTCGTTGTCTTCTTCTTCGCCTACTTTGTCTTCCTCTCATCCCGGTTCTACTCAAATTCATTCTGCTAAATTGAAATCTACAGCAGGAGGCGAAGGAAAAGATCGTGAAGATGTAACAAATAATAACAGTGGTAAAATTGCATCAGCATCATCATCACCGTCTCCGGGTATTGGCTCTACAACAACATCAACCACAACATCTAATACTTTGACATTAGTCGTAAATACAGCTGGTCGTTTAATACAATTTAATGGTCAAAGAGATCTAGACAAATGGGTTGATTTAAAAGTGAGTTATTAAATTGTTCATCGTTATCTCTATTCCTCTCTCTATATGTGTCTATCTACCTATCTTTATTTTATACTTGTCTACTGCGTACATTGTTCTTTTCAAATCATTCATCCAATGTATATTATTAATTTGTTTAGAATTTTAATTAAATTATCAGTTAATACTTATAAAATACATCAATGAATTTATTTCTATGCTTTATTGATGATTATTTGTAGATGACGTCAGTCAATTCTTTTTTTTTTTTAAAAAAAACAACAAAATTAACACTTCATCCTTTGTTTCTTTTACGTATACTTATAGTTTGTTTTATTTTATCGACTAGATTTGAATGATAATCATTTTAATCAGTGCAACATTCAAACTATTATTTTCCCTAGGTAACCAATGAACACTTTTTCAATTAATTTATAAAACTTTGTCATTCATGTTATTTCATTGTTTATCCAAATGACTGTAACTGTAACTTTTTTTCATTTTCACTACATTCAATAGTCAATAGTATGTGCAACTTATTTCGTTATAACATTAAATGAATTGTCCGAACTATTGATTTGTATCTGTTTGTTACTAATGTGTTTTATGTTCTTTATAAGCTTAATCAATATTAATTGCCAATCATTTTAAATTAATGTATACCAGATATGTGTTTAGTTTAAGGGTGATTTTTGTTAAGAATTGACGTCAACTAAAAAAAAAACTGTTGATAGTGAGAAACCGTTCAGTAATATCCCTATACGTTGTCATGCAAAGTTGTAAATCGATGATCAAATTGTCAAACCCCTAGATTAGAATCTAATAGACTAAGTTTTCTAGTTTATTCTCTTAGGAATGTGGTACAATTTGCATCCAGTGTATATCTATGACTCATTCTATAGCACCCTCCAATTGATTAATACAATACAGGCCACTATCCTGTGTGTTGAGTGTGTACTACTACTAGGGCTTCCAAATTAGAATCAAACATCTTCATTCATTCTTTATTTGATAACAGTTGGTAATGGAAGTTACCTTCAAGGTTTAGTACTAATGTTAAAAAGAACGTTCAACCAATAAAAAAATGTACACGTTAAGTAATATGAAGCCGCTACTTCTATTGAACCCTATATCATATTCAGTTATATAAGGTTTCTTAACTATTTCTGTATATTTCGTCTAATCTTTGTTGTATTGAAGTTGGAAGTCAGTCATTTACATAAATTATAAGTGTTGCTAATCCCACTGGATTCGTTCTACAAAAGTCTATTTCCAGCGAAATTTTTTCACATAATAAGCAAAGATGGTTGGTGGCTGGCAGTGAAATCCAGGATGCGCGTTTCGTTCTTTTCGAGACTAGTCAGCTGGATGTACGTGCATCCACATCGGAGAACGAAACTCTATTAAAATCATTCACCTGAGCTACAAATCTTTACCATCTCAAGACTGGTGAATGTAATTTATATCTTTGTATTATGCACAACTTTTAACTTGTATATCTCTTCGTACATGATAAAATATCGATTTTTTCCTTTTAAAATTAACATAGATTATGAATATAACATTTAGCAATTGTGTACAATCTCTGATAAATCTGGCTTCTTACTCGACTTTATTTTCTGTATGCTTCTTAAACTAATCCTTTTATTATAAGCAAATATGAGCATAAGGTGATATCGCGGCAATCCTCATAGAATGCACATATGCCAATAAAAGGTTGATCGATTGCAGATTCAAACAAACAATACCAAGTGACTCTAACCCTTTTTTTATGTATTCGCATATAAACGTTTGACGTAAAATATTTTGGAGGATGTATAAATTTCACACAAATTGGTTCAGCAAACTACATGTATGAAACAGAGATTGTAAGCTGTTTATTATGCGTCGTGGTGTGGATTATTGTAACGACCAATCCTATTGTATGTGCATTTATTTGTCTGTTAATTCAAATCGTGGGTGATGTTGTGGATTAATGGGGACAATCAATCGTTGACTCAGTTTATCTAAAGAGGATACATTTATCATGAAAAATCGATAAACAGACAGGCAACTACATTCATACATAAGTAAATATGCACATAGGTAAAAAGATTACCAATTAATTAAATTGAATCATAAGGTTAAAATGGGCACATATTTGCTAGTTCAAATAAAAACAGATTTACGTAAGGCTGTTAAAAAACTGTCATTTTCAATAAAATTAAATCATAACTTCACTGATGTATATCCTAATTAAATTGGATATGGTAATAGAATAGTCATAAACTAGAGAGCCTAAAGAAACAAAAGACTGATAGTAATCGTCCTCTCGTATTTCCTGTATTTTTTAAATATTCTATCGGAAACTTTAAAATGTCTATTGAAACTTAACTTTTTCAGCCATCATTTTGCCACAGACTGATTTCCATACATTATAGTCTAGATTTCTGTCATTATTTATGATTGTCATATTTCTTTTATTTTCTTTCTTAGACTTCTAGAGCAAACTGTATTTCAACAAGTGGTTCATGGGTAACTGTTGGTTGTACCACCGGTGTTTGTCTATTATTTGAAGCTGAAAGTTTACAATTTATAGCTAAACTTCCTTTACCTCATTCGTTGGGTTCCAGTTTGCATGTAAGTTGTGCTGTCTTCCTAATGCACTGTAATATTTTCTATTTTAACAGAAAATATGCATATATTGATTTTGTTGTAAAATGTAATATCTGTCCGATCGTTTGAGGTTGTGAGAATTATATAATATCAGAAGGGGGGTTGTGGAGATTGTAGTAATTTTGATAATCGAATTTATGAACCGATGTAATCTAGATCAATTGTTGAAAATCTCGAAGCATTCGATGACCGTTCCGTCCTAATATGAAACTTCCTAGCAGTGCGCATTCACGATCGCGCACATGGGACTCAAACCCAGGACCTTCCGTCGCGCGCGCGAATGCTTAACCTCTGAACCACTGAGCGGGCATCCGACGGTGTTAATGTCTAACTTGATTCGATGCATGATCTTGAGCAACCCTTCATCCATTGTCTGAAATGGATAACTGTCCACACCTAAGGAGTCCCATGCAAAGACGAAACAGCCTTCCAGTGCTTCCAGGTTTTCAATGGTGGTCTAGCTTAGATCAACTCATGAATTCAAATATTAAAATTATATAATAGACTAATAGAAAATAATCGGTATAGCGGTTCTGCATGAACAATAGGGAAATATCAATAAAAGCTGGAATTCATCTTCCATGTATTTGTTGCCTTTATTTTAGGTATATGTTCTCACCAATAATTTTGCATTTCATTTTCATGATATTCTTCATTATTTACTTACTCGCTTTTGTACATCTTTTTTTTCATGCCAATCCTGTATGCTTATTAAACTAAATAATATAATCTGTTTTTTTGGAAAAAAAATGCGATACTATTTTTATTACGGAATGAAGTTGGAAAAAATATCAATTTAAACAAATCTTACCTGATTACATAATGGATATGTTCTTTTCTTATTATTATAATTTAATTACATAATTTATTCAAAGTTACTAAAATCTTCACAGTTCTTCCTGGTTAGACTGAATGTTTACAAAGTTTCCTGTTTATAAACACTGTCAAGGAATTCTTGTAGGATTTTAACAGTGGAATTAATTTACAAGCAATTTTGATTGTATATTAATCTGACTGTAGTTTGTGAACGCATTTATATTCTTTTCTTACGTTGGCTCTATATGTTCATTTAAACTTGAATTATTATCGTTATTATTATTATGGTTATTAATGAAGAGGGTTTCCTTCTCTAACTATAGTTCCTTTCTGTTGTTGTCAGTGATCATGCAGCTTAGGCAACCTTTTTTTCAGATCCATCTTGGTAGACATGTGAAATTACTGCTGTAATTTTATAATTTGACACATCTACTGCGACCACAATAGGAAGGACTGGATCATAGTGCGTAAGTAGAAGGTTTGACGGTAGGAGCTGTTTTAGTTTTAGAATGCTTCTTGACATCCTGTTGATCAGATCCATTTGGTATTCTTTGTTAGTAAAAAATACAGCGGGGCACGCAGACGATCCAGGTCTAGAGGGAAAACATCATAATGGCCAACCATCTCCAAGAAGGAACTTAAGTTTGATATATCTATTGTGGATGCATGATCTTGATAGCCTCGACGTTTTCTGGATCAGGTTTTCTTCCATTTTTGTCGACTATGAATCTCTAATAGCACACTTGCTCGATGTGTAAATCACATCATAGGAAAGGTCTCTCAGATTCTTGGGAAGAATGAAGTTGGTGTAGCGTTCATCTTCAACTGTGCCTGACCCAGCAAATGAACCAAAATCAAAAGGGGCTTACAGATGATTCATTCAAATCCCACGTCGACTAAATTAATTTTATCTACGAATTTGATTTTGGTGGTTTAGCCAGTTTGACATTCGAATCCTGGTTCAAGAAATATTAAGCTGTATTCACGGTGGACTTAGAGAAATTCGATGGTGCCACAAAAGTCAGAGTTCTAGTACGCAAACTTGGCACAGCTGGAGATAAACGAAAGTTTGTTGCAAATTTTTGATGAACAATGTTCTTTATACAATATTCATTACCAAGATCTCGAGTTAGCAAATGCTGGTGCCGATGACCGGTCGCAATATGTCGGCCTAGTAAATCGCGAGTGCGAGCGTTTTAAATTATCGGCAATGTCAGAAGACCAGTTTAAGTGTCTTGCCTTTGTATGTAGTTTGCAGTCACCTGAAGATGCCGATATTAAAACCTGAATTTTGAGTAAAATTAGACAATGTCCAAAGATAATTCTATAAGAAGTGACGACTGAATATATATATATATATATATAAAGGAAACTTATTCAATCTCTTCTTCTCTTATAATATTATCCTCTAGTTTCTCAAATTTATTACTCTACCCCTTTTTTTCTCTACTGACTTCTTTACTCTTTTTATTTTCCTTTTATTAAGAAGTATAGAATATTTGTTTCTATTTTGTTTCAGAATTTCTTTTGAAATAGATGGATTCATCATCAAATACCTTGTTTTAGTAATTATCTAGTTGAGTTGAGTTTATAATAAATCTACATGTTTGTTTAAATACTTGAGAATTCTTTCTTTACATAAATTGTTAAACGAAGTGATTATATTCATCAGAATATTTAAATTTATGAATTGTACTAAACAATTACACTTTCTTCTAGCACCAATCAAAAGTGTTGGTTGACTATTTAGTCGATTCATTTATTTTTAAAACAAAAATGAAAACTAACTTTCATTTCTTGTTGTATTTAATGGTATTATTTTAACTCCCCTGAAGTCTCAAATCGCAGTGATTTCATAAATCTGTGTGGGCACACGCACACACAAAGCTTTAAAGTTATTTGTCGTATAGATTTAATCATGTATGTGACAAGTAAACAATTTGGTCGGGAGAAATTCCTTACCGTTAACTATTTGTGTCAGTTTATATGTTATGACTGTTGCTATGTGGAAAAGCGGCCAAAACAAAAGCTAGAAATATAAAAATTGAATATCTGTTCTTTATGTGCAAATATTATGTGTAATTTTCTCATGAGAATATACTCAGTTGTAAACTTTTGTTTGGCTTGTGAATTATGTTAGGTTTTTTTCTAAAGTCAAAAATGATAATCTTTTAATTATATGTAGAGTTAATTTGTTTTTAATGACGCAAAAATATCTTCGTTTGGTAAACGTACTGCTATTTACAAATTATATGGTACATTGTTTTTTGATATATTACTTGTTATATATAACCAGGAAATTTTAATAGTTCTGTCTTATCAAAAATAATTGAAAGTTGTAAGAAATCTGCTCTTCTACTGTTTGTAACTAGAAGTTAAGGCATAGTAACACAAAGTTTGCATAGTTCTCGATTGTTTAACTAGTTAATTGTTTTAGATAGTTTATTCTCAGGAAATCATTTGAAAAACGAAGTACATGAAGCACTAAACAGTTGGTTTCATCTTGTTCTGTTCTACTTTACGGCTGCGAAACGTGGCCATTAAAAGTAGAGGAATCTCGTAAGTTACTAGTATTTGATCACAGATGTATTAGAAATATTGCTCGCATCTGCTAGGGTCACCGGATAAGTAATGGTAAGGTTAGACGCAGAGTATTAGAAAATGATGGTAAATCAGTTGATGAGGTTGTGAATATTCATCGACTGAGATGGTTGGGCCACGTATCACATGTCTAACTACCGATTACCACGGTGTTTTTGAGACCAATGGGAGAAAGTAAGTTGCGGTCGAATCAAAACGTGGCATCAGTGCTTGAAGTCAGTAACGTATGGTCTGAGCCATGTTGGTAGATTCAGACTACTTGGTTGCGGTCCACACGACTACTGTAACCAGTGGTTGGAGACTCTGGGTTCATTATCGATCACAATAGTGTGGATGTATACACTCTTTGTCTTCCTTTAAGCCGTTAGGTTAAGATTATTGCATACCTTTCTTCCTACGGACTTATTCTATCTCCTTGTATCATATCCTAATATGAAGTGTTTTTTATTACAATTAAATTAACTACTATGAATTTGGTGTTTATCTTGTTATGCTAATGAGATGTGGCGACTTGTGCCGATACATATATGTGCCTGGTCTTACGTTGTAGCTGACTGACTGACAGGATAGTTTTTTTTCAATGCACACACAACTGCTTATTCGAATGATAACGAACTCAGTATTTTTGTTTTAGTTAAGATGGGTTGCAATTACCAGTGGAGTCCAGGATGTGTGTTTCGTTTTTGCTGGGATGTATCAACTAAACATGTCTGTATCCCAGTTTTGACGTTTACATCTGTATTCGAACATCTTATACACCTAACTAGTATATCTTAACTAGGATTAAACGCGCCTCCTGGATCCCAGTTCTGTTTACTCTCAGTATTAAACAAAATTTATATCTGGAGATGTTGTTGAAGTACTTCGTTCAGGGCGCACTTGTGCCAGAAGAGATTGGGTAAACAGAATCCTTTATCTAAATAATCATATAACTGGGATTATTACATGAATATTGATATCTGTATGTTTGATAATCAACACTCATTTTTTAAACAATTATCTGAATTTCCAGTATCTAAAGATCTATTTCTAGTGTTTTCTGTATTTCAATCAATTCTTCGACCTATGTCAGTTCATATTGAAACTTATCTTCAAGACGTTTTATTACAAGTCTCAACATTGCTGATAGTATCAATAATGCCAATTCGATCTTGTTTTTCAGCTTTTTCCAGATGTTATTTCAAGTGGGCTGAATGTAAATGAACCCATTTACCCTGATATTATTGCAATTAAATTGGATTGCATACGTAATCGTATAATTTGTTTTTATAATGATCATAGGTAAGAACGAATGATGTTGAAGTATTTTATATATGCTTATTTTGTTATTGATAACCGGACAAGATTACAACTCTGCTTGACTGTATTTGTTTTGCCATTTTGATTCATAAGGATTCGCTTTTATTTCTTTAAATTGAATGTGATATATTAATCACTAAACAGTATAAATTAGCTCATCCAACTACAATTGACATATTCATGTTAAAAATCATCTGATAAACATCATGATTCAGTCATATGAGAATTTTTCAAAGTTACTGACTAACATTTTCAGTTATAACTGATCTAATTACTATTTTTTTCTCTTATTAATCAATATATATCATCTTGTGCATCAACATGTACGTAGCATGAAAGCGTTTTTCTAACTCAAGGGTTAATTCCTCAAGTACTTAAATGACCTACTTACGCCTGTTACTCATCATGGTGGAACATAGACCATTCGACAGCATTCTCTATCCAACTCTGTCCTGAACAATGTTTTCCAGTTGCTATTGATTCTTTACATGTCTGCTCCCAGTTCCCAATTCAATGTGTCCTTCAGTCTTCTTCTTTTTCGTTTGCCTTCAGGATTCCAGGTCAGGACCCGCCTCGTGGTGAAGTTTGATGGTTTCTACAATGTGTATCGTAACCACCTTTAACGTCTTCTTGTGATTTTCTCTTCACCTGGGAGTAGGTTTGTTCTCTCTCTCAGTAGGTTGTTACCGATGGTATGTGACCGACGAACAATTAGTATCTTATGTAGTCAATTGTTTATGAATACTTGTACTTTGGTGACGATGGTTGTGGTAGTTCTCAACGTTTCATCTCTGTACGGTTGAACTGTTTTTACGTTCGTATTGAAGATTGTGACTTTGATGTTGGTTTATGGACGGTTGTTTTGAATTCCATATGTTCTTCAACTTTTGTAATTTGTTCCCTGGTCTGTCGATTCTTGTCTTTATGTCTACATCAGATCCTCTTTGTTGATCGATGATGCTACTTAGATACGTGAAATTTCCCTTCTCTTCCAGAGTTTCCCCATCAATTGTGATTGGGTTGGTTGGTGTTCTGTTCTGTGTGTTGTATTTGGGGATGTTGGTTTTTCGGTTGTGTATGTTGAGGCCTACTGTTGCAGAGGCTACTGTTACACTAGTTGTGTTGACCTGTATTTTTTGGTGTGTATGAGATGGGATAGAGGATGTAGTTCACCTGTGAAGGTTGAATCTTCTAATTGATTCTGAGCTGTCCATTGTGTTCTGTGATTTCCTTGAGATATGGAGATCTTCATAATCCAGCTGACCACTATAAGAAAGAGAAAAGTAGAGTAGGCAGCCTTGTTTGTTTTCGGTCCTCACTTGGAATGCATCTGTTCGTTGTCCTCCATACTCGACTTTGCACTGTAGTCCGTCGTATGAATTCTGTATGATGTCGACGATTTTCTCGGGTCCTCAATAGTGACGCCCATCTTCGAGATCAACAGGCTGGATTCCTTAAGGATCGGTCGTGCACAGACGAAATCTCGACGCTACAGTTAATTGTTGAACAGTCAGTTGAGTTGAAGCTTTCTTTCCATATTACACGCTTTTTCTCTCGTGTCCAGGTTGTTTTATATATTTAGCCTGGGGTTATTAGAAGAGCTTAGGAAATCAATTCAAGCGTTTAGTTAGAAGATGTATCACTTTAAACCTTGATAATCGATAATAGTGTGTTTGGTAACATTTCTGTGTCAAGTGGTCATTAAATATCTATTTTTCTTTATTGTAGCTTAGAATTCTATGGTTTAATGAAAATAAATTTGAATTATTCTCCAAAATCTGATAATGATTTCATATGGAAATTTTGTTTATTTACACTGATAATTTTTGTCATGAACTGACATCAAATGAAGCTAGTGTTCTAGTTCTGGACACTTCAGCAGTGCCTATCTACAAAGCGAAAAAAAGACTGAATTCTGGGCCTTCTGTTTGATTATCATTTAAATCATTAAATTAATTCAATCAAGCCTAAATAAATTGAACAATAGTCTTTTTTGACTAACTACTTTCCAAAATTTGTAATTAATTTACATCTGAAGTTGTATAACTACCAGAAAGGGTAGGGAGAAAATAATCTTGACTTCAATTTATCTCATAATTGTGTTATAGGGTGGTACATTTACTACATGTTTTAAAATTAATTGAACAGATGTTTGATTATATATAAAATGGATTTATGTCGTCGAGACCCAAAACTAATCGTTAATATTTGAATTATGATCAGAATGGGTATCGTGGATGTTGTAGTAATTTCAATAGTTGAATTCATGAGTTAGACCACTATTGAAAACTTGGAATCACTGGACGGCCGTTTCGTCCTAGTATGGGACTTTCCAGAAGTGCATTTTCACGATCACGCACTTGGGATTCGAACCCAGAATTTTCTATCTCGCGCGAGATCGCTTAACCCCTAGACCGGTGATCTGGAATCCAACGGTGTTAATGTCTAACTTTTATCGATCTATGGATGGCTATGCAATTATTCATCCATTGTCTGAGTTAAATACCTGTCTCTACCCGACATTTATTGGACTCCACTTGTCAACTATTAAAATATTTGGATTCACTCTTTTTTATAATTTGTGAATTCAGGAGGCAGCTTCGAAGGGGGGTATTTTACAGAATCCTAATTGTTTGATTGATTGTTTGTACAGATTATTGATTGTATCGTTTATATTTTGTTATTATTGTCACAAGTTGATAACAATTGTTGAAGAAGTTTGGAGTCAACTTCCCCTGGCTTATTTTATTTTAGTTGTGTACCGAAAGTTAGGCAAGAGAGTAGAATAAGGATAACCTTGAATGATTCAAAATAACTGTGATGAATTTTAGCCCATAACTAACACATTAAGGATCAGTTACTTGATGTGAATGGCTTATATGTTATAAAATAATATTAGAAACATTACTTACTATTAATGGATTTGTTGTAGTTTTCCATTAGTTTTTCTGTCTGCAATAAAAAAAGATCTTTCATTATCATTTTAAATGTTCTGAGGACTATATTCAGTTAATCCTGGTGCTCTCTGTTTGATACAATGTAAAGGTCATTTTTTGAAGTTTCGGGTGAAAAGTCAAAAGTCGTTTTCTTTATTCTTATTGATTAATCACTATACATTACTTTTACCGGAATTTACGTTCACTAACGTTGGTCTCTTGTTAATAATAAACACGAAAGTTGTTTTCATTGTTTCCTGAAGGTCGATTCTAATTACCTAATCATCAATTGTAAGCTCATATTAACGGAGATGTCTTGAACTTGTACTGACACTGTATCCATGTGTAACTGAAATAATAAGTTGATTATACCCATGTAACGCACAAAATTTCCAGAGTTTCGGTTGATTTTTTGTATAGCCTGGATAAATTAGGTGAATTTTATTCATTCCAAGTGATACTGAAGCACAATTGTTGGATTTTGACTACGTTACCAATTAAGCATAAACATAAATATAGAATTATAAGCAAAGATGGATGGTGGCTAGTAGTGGAACCCAGGACACGCGTTTCGTCCTTTTCGAGGCTCGTCATCTGGATGTGCCTGCATCCCAGAGTCTATGTTCACTGCGGGACTCGAACCCTGTACCGTCCGCTTCAAAAGCCGTCACGTTATCCACTTAACTAAATATGGATCATACGAAATATCTCAAAAGATTTACTTTTAGACTATGCGGCCAATTTTCTGTACTGAAAACTTTGTACAATTAAAACTGTAGTACATCAAGTAGATAAATCTACTAAACATACAAAAAAGTAGTTACTTATTAAAGATAATGCGTTCCTGACAAGTAGGAAATGTAATTCTGTCAACGAGTCATTTAAATCAGACGTAGACAGCCATAGTATTGCAAATCAATATGAATACCACCAATATTCAGGGATGAGTATAGCAAACTTTAACTCCAAACAAATGATTGAGGCAACCAAAATTATAAAGAAAAAGAATAGTAATAACTTCATAAGGACCATACGAACCGAGCATAAACATACTTATGCTTGAAATTTTTAGATGCTTTTGCTAAAGATTTACATAATTCTCAGGAATGATTAACAGATTGTGACAAGTGAATCCCACACATTTTACCATGTTCTAGCATTAGCATTTAGCTTGTATCATCCACAGCACAAGTAATATTAGCAGCGTTTCTTGATCAATTCAAAATGTGAAGATATATATTGATGGAAATAAAAATATGTGTGACATGTATAAAAGTTATGTTGTGGTAAAAAGTGTTCCACTATTCATACAATAAATGCATGGATAAATGTTCCCGGGGATATCATCACAATTTAAATCTCCATACCTAAAAATTCTTAAACATTTCCATATTGTGAATTATGTATGTTGTTCTAAATCTCCATACATAAAGTAATGTGACATAGAGACTTGTCATGATTTCAATTCACTTCGTATCATGTGTGATTGACTCCTTTATATGGTACAATTTTTATGTTGAACTTCATTACTTACTATATGTAGAAGATGATTTGAAGCTGATTTGTTTTCCAATTTGTTTCACATCACAAAGTACCCTGCATTATGTCAACTTGCAAGTTTTTCATGTCTCATAATCTACTCTATGTCTGTTTGCAATCAATTCTCTTAAGATTACAGACACGCCTTAATGTTAGGTGTTATTTAGTACAGTACCTAAATCTACAGCTCACCTTTCATTATCTCTACTTGCTTGACATTGTTGCATCGTATTGTAAACATGTTTTAATATCATTGAGATATTTGATAATTGTTTTTTCTATCAGATAAATGGTTTTCTCTCTCAGATATCTATTGTTAAATTAAGACATTTTAGGGGATAGAATGAATGACAGAATATCCGATATTTGGTTTTCATTCAATATTTCAGTAGTTTTTACATATCTTGTAACATATATTGAGCAAGAAATGCAATGTTGACGTGTTATTCACTGTTCTCCTTTTATACCATCTCTATTACTTAGTTTGTAGCCATTTTAGTAAGAAAACGTTAACGCCCCTTTTATTAAGTTTCATTTAATAACAAATGATTAATATACTTTAAAAAAATTATAAAAGCTTCCTGTTTGGTAATGGTGTATCATCAACAGAAGAGAGAAAAACAACTGACTGTGTGGTGTTTGCTACTGATGTCGACAGATATAAGTAGTATGCATCACCAGTCGAAAGCGGAATGCATGGCAGCAGAAAATCGAAGAGAAGAGAAGGAGACAGAGAGTGATTGATATGGAAACAAAGGAACAACAAGGTCTCAGACAACTTATCGGTATTTCGCAAATGAAGTATTTACTGTATGGTTCTCAGATTTTACTAAGATATTTTGTAATGTTATATTAAAATATATTTGGTTGTCTCCGCTAGTGTTCTTGTTAACTAAAATTGTACCACAGAAATTTGACTTCAAAATTTGTTAAAGAAGTCTTCTTTTTATGTCAATAAGTGTACTGTTAAAAAAAATTTAGTGCAAAACTACTGCAATACTACTTTGGTGACGATGGTTGTGGTAGTTCTCCACGTTTCATCTCCGTACGGTAGAACTGTTTTTACGTTCGTATTGAAGATTGTGACTTTGATGTTGGTTTATGGACGGTTGTTTTGAATTCCATATGTTCTTCAACTTTTGTAATTTGTTCCCTGGTCTGTCGATTCTTGTCTTTATGTCTACATCAGATCCTCTTTGTTGATCGATGATGCTACTTAGATACGTGAAATTTCCCTTCTCTTCCAGAGTTTCCCCATCAATTGTGATTGGGTTGGTTGGTGTTCTGTTCTGTGTGTTGTATTTGGGGATGTTGGTTTTTCGGTTGTGTATGTTGAGGCCTACTGTTGCAGAGGCTACTGTTACACTAGTTGTGTTGACCTGTATTTTTTGGTGTGTATGAGATGGGATAGAGGATGTAGTTCACCTGTGAAGGTTGAATCTTCTAATTGATTCTGAGCTGTCCATTGTGTTCTGTGATTTCCTTGAGATATGGAGATCTTCATAATCCAGTCGACTAAGCTTTCATCAATTGTATGAAGTGTATACCTCTCTCCACTGGACACCGATCGGACTCGACTGGTCACGTCGTTTCACTAGAACCCCAGGAAATCCATCTTGAAGCTATTCTCCAATGAGCACATGATAATTGTCAGTATAGGTTTGTGGAGGTTTTTCAGTTTATATAGACATCGTAACCAGTTGAGTTCATCCGTGTCCGTTGTTAGGTAGTTACTCACTGAAGACAATAGTAGACGGTCGCGCGGTGTCGTGGATTGTTTGATTTTAGACATAAATACTGTTTGATGCCGATTCAGTGATTTAGAGTTTACACTTAAGCGTGCGAGACTGAAGATCCTGGGTCCGATTCCCATGTTGGGGATCATGGGTGAGCAATTCTGCGGAGTTCCGTCTTATGGCGGAACGGCCGTCCAGTGATTCCAGGTTTTCGATTGTGGTCCAACATAGATCCATTTGTGATATCAATCTAAACTCAACAACCTCCACAACACTATACTTATAATAATTTTATCCGTGATAATTTTATTAAAAAGAAAAAGATGTTCAGTCGCTTGAAAATATTCAACCAAAAATTGCTTTTTTACTTTGTTTCTTCAAGTTTGTTCTAATGAGTACAATTAATATTTCCACTGAAATTTTTGTCATTATTTTGTTCATTAAAGCATTCATGTATGGGATATACATGACTTAACAACAATCAATAAATGTCGATCGCATTATTACCATAGTCGAGGTATTTGGTCAGTGGATTGTTTACCGGAACAATGGCGACAGAATAATAATAACATCGATAACAATAATAATACGATTCCATTAAATCATTTACAATCTTGGTGGTCGAATGATATGTTTGTCACATGTTCTGATGATGGAACTATTCGATTTTGGAATCTTCTTGAAAATTGTCAGTCGACAACAAATAATGTTACTGATAATGGAATTAGATTGTCAACAAGTGTTCCAGTCAATTCAGAATTTATAGGACCTACAACGTTCGAGTGTACAGAAGTAAGTGAATGCGTGATTTCTTAAAAGTATGTTTTTGAAAAAAAAAACATACAGTGGTGTTGATTAGTAGTTATTATTCTTCCCTCCACTTAGCAAAATAGGTTACATTACTTTAATTCAACCAAATACTATGTTCCAATAGATTTGTCATTCATTTAGAGTTTGTTTTTCCGACATAGTTTGTTAACCATCTTTTCTTCCAAATGTTTTGTTTTCATTGATTATTAATTGTATATATTTATTTCGTTGAATACCGTTGAGAAAGTTTATAAAACAACGAAATATTACAAAGTTTATTGATTTCTATTCATTCATAATCATTACTTCTTAATGAAGTTGCATAAAGCAAATTGGCTTTATCTATTATTTCCCTCTATAGAATATCCTAAATGAACCATAGTAATATCAAGATATATATATATATATATATATATATATATATATATATATATATATATATATATATATATATATATATATATATATATATATATATATATACCAACTAATTCTTTTTTCCTTTACTATGTCCTTATATGCAATCTTTTTTTATATATTACCACCACTGAATTAACTACTTCTATGAATCCGGTGTTCATCTTGTTGTGCTAATGAGGTATGGCAACTTGTACCGATGCACATATGTGCCTGGTCCTACGTTTTAGCTGACTGATTGACTTTTCCTTTGTATAATCTTAATGAACAACTTTACAATTGAATTTTATCCATAAATTTTCTGTGGTTGTTGATTTGTGACAATATTTCTCTTTTTTTAACTTGTAATTTCTCTCCTGGCTGAATAAAAAAGGTGTTTGTGATTCTTTTCTAAAAAATTTTTTATTTATAGTAATGATAATAACTAATCTGGTCAAATCAATAATAGGTCAACACATTTGCTGAAATTATATTTTATCACACATTATAAACGTTCATATGGGTCATATGAATGGATTTCAATATTCATCTGCTATATGGTTGATAGTTGTAAAGCAATCTTTTTTTCACATTAGGAACTACCATTCGGTCTAAGCTAGGACACCACTGAAAACCTGAAAGCACGGAATAGACGTTTCGTCCTAGTATGTGACCCCTTAACAGTGCGCATCCACGATCCCTCATTCAGGACTCGAATCCAGGACTTTCAGTCTTTCGCGCGAACGGTTAACTTCTAAACCACACCTTCTCCATAAATCCCCATACTGACAAGAATTTTTTTCATATAATAGACAGCATTGGTCTATCATATCATTAACCAAGGATTTCAAAGATTTTGAATAAATGGTTTACAAGGTTAATGAAAGAAACATTAGAGTTAAAGAAAAATATGTATTTAAAAAAAAAAAAGTTATATATATATAACGTTGATTTATATGTTTTTATCGATTATTGTTACAGTCAGAAGGTTTACATGACTTGTATCAATTTATGTCACATTATATAATATTGGTATTAATCCATCAATCAACATAAACTCTCGTGACTATAATTATGAATGTTAAATATAAACTAACAAATAATTTGTATTTCCCCACTTTTTTGATTATTCAGTAATAGACTTATGTAATTTCTGTTACTATAATAAATTTTTTATCGAGAGGCTTCGATACGTTTACAAAGGTAATAACTAGTGGTCATGTCCCAGATTGTAAAGCTGAATGATTCAGGTTTGAATTCCACAGGGAGCATCAATTCTCTTACGATTTCAGGCACACTTTGTAAATGATTATCAACTAGCACCAAATCGATGCCTAGGAGTTCTTATCAACTATTACCACTCGTCTCATATTTCTACATGTTGTCTATTGCTGAAAATTAATGATTTTTTAAGCAGTACCTATGATGATAGAGAGTTTATAGAGATTTATAAAAAGTAAGAACTTTATTATTTACAGAATATAACTCATTGTAATTCATTGCTTTCTCTTCAACTACATAGAAACTATTATGTTTGATCATTTCCGACTGTTAACATAATGTTGGAAAATGAATTGTTAATCGATGCTAAGTAAATTATGTGTAATATAAAGGAAATTAAGAATTAAAATTTTGATAAGAGGTTGGGGTCCTTTTTGTAATACTGAAGGTAATAGTTCTAGAATATTCACTCAATTTCATTTTTTGTAAATTAAGTAAGGATAAGAATGTATGGGAATTCAGCTCAAAATAGAAGTATAGTGACAAATGAAGCTGACAAAACCTTTAAATACAAACACTCATAGAACAGACTGATTAATTCAGCTCACTTCTGCATGTGACGATACAAAATGCCATAAAATCTACTTGTAGAGTTATAAACCTTCCTTGATCAATTCAATTTACTTTTTATTGAATAAATGGTCATTGTTTTACTGTTTATTTTAGCAACTTGCTGGAATTATATACACTGATCCAAGTCACAAATATCTATGTACTATTGATCGTTCTTCATGTAAGTTCCACATATGAATCTAGATTTGTGTTTTTGTTATTTAAAACTAGGCTTGGCGGTTTTGTTTAAAAAATGTTCAGTGATACAATTTAGTAATTTTTTAGAGATTGAGATATTAAATCTTAGAAAATAAAATATCTATTTTATCATAGTGAATATATATTTGTTTCCTTCCAAATCCATCTTTTTATAACGTCTCGTTTTAGCCATGTAAAAGGTTATTCCCTCTCTTAATAGATCAGAGATAACATCTCATATTCTGAAGCTGGGTGATGCGGATTCGAGTTCCACATGGACCATCTGTCGCTCCAAGTTTACGGGAATACTTTGCTGACGAGTATCAAATAACACGGTAGCTAAGTTCATGGTTTTCTTTCAACAACCTTCAATCATCTGATACTATGAAAAACTAGACTACTGTTTCATTTTAGTTCAACCTTTATTGTTATATCAAACCTACGACAGTCTTACGATTGGCTCTAACTTCAAACTACTGGACTGGGAATTCGCTAATTTACATTTTTAACTTAATCAGATTGCGTTATAGTTCGATCAACATCCCATTTCACTGGTGATTTATTTTTACACTCCCGATTTGCATGTCTTCATTTTAGTGAAGCCAGGAAATATAGGTCATTGAATATCCCTTACTGTCTATTGTAATTCTATATACATTTGTAGTGGTCGTTTTCAGTCAGTCAGTAACAACGTAGAACTTCGTACGTACGTACATCAGTTTGAGTTGCCACATCACATTAGCACAGAGATGCAGTGGTCGATTCAAATCCCGTAGTGGTAGAGGTAATAAGAGTATAAGCAGTAATCGGAAAGATTAGTGTTTGGAGATGTTACTTAAAGAGTAGAATACAGTGAAGTAAACTTGGGAAGAGGAAAAAAAGAGTCAAGGGAGGATTAGATCAAAATTTGGGAGATCACAAAAAGTGGATGCACCTGTGCCATTGCAAACGATTTTGAGCCATGTCATTCAAGGTCTCTAACCATCGGTTGCTATCATCTCGCGGTCCCCAACCAGGTAGTCTACACCTACCGACATGACTCAGTCTACTTATCAGTGACTTCATGAACTTGAACCATGTTTTGTTCTGGCAGCCCTTAACTTTCTTCCAGCCCACTCCTACACCATGAAAGATCGCACGTCGAGGCAGTCGGTCGTTGGGCATACGTAACACGTGTCCCAGCCATCTCAACTGATGAAGTTTCACTACTTCATCAATTGATTTGCCATCCTTACCTAGTACCCGTTTCCTAACAACTGCATTACTTACTCAATGGTCCCAGGATATACGAGCAATATTTCGAAGAAACCTATGATCAAATACTAGTAACCTACGAATATTCTCTACTCTTACCGGCCATGTTTCACTGCCATAAAGTAGGACGGAATGAACTGCTGCGCAGTAAACACGTCCTTTGGTTGATAGATGGATATCTCGCCTACGCCATAAATGACGCAAGTTGGCAATAGCTAGTCGAGCCTTCTGTATCCGTGCTGTGATTTCGTCACACACCAGACCACAAGGGCTGATGAGATTTCCAAGATAAGTGAAGTGATCGACACGTTCAATTACTTCACTCCTTATCACTAGTTCGGGTGTCGATGTAACCCAATCCTGAAGCAACATTTTGCATTTCGAGAGGGAGAATCGCATCCCGAACATGCTTGCATTGTTGCTTAGAGTGGTCAGAAGACTCTGCATTTTGTCAGCGTCTTTGCCAAATAAAACTATGTTATCAGCATATTCTAAGTCAACAAGTGAACCTCCCGGTAGAAGTTCAGCCCCTGGAAATTTAGATGAAGAGAGTGTTATCTCTAAAAGTACGTCGACCATAAAGTTGAACAAGAATGGAGAGTGTGGACAGCCCTGACGAACACCACTTGAGGTAATCAATTCTGATGACAGTTTGCCATAAGCTCTCACTCTACCAGTTGTGTTCGAGTAGAGAGCCTGAATAAGGTTAATGTACTTCTTTGGTACTCCTTTCAGTGATAAATACTGCCATAGAACCCTACGATCAACAGAGTCGAATACCGCCTTAAGGTCGAGAAATACTACCATTGTGGGGCGTCTGAACGTGTGTCTGTGTTCTAGAATCTGATGTGGTGTGAATATCTGGTCTATACAACCACGTCCAGGTCGAAAACAAGCCTGATTTTCTCTAGTCTGTTTTTCACGAGCTTTGGTTAGGCGTCGAAGTCTTATTGAAGCTAATATTTTAGACACAATATTAGTCAAACTGATTCCTCTGTGATTGTTACAAGAGGACTTTTGTCCTTTCTTAAAAACTGGCACAATCAGTGATTGAGACCAGTCAGATGGGATTACGTCCAGCTCCCAAATTCTACCTAAGACCTCAGTCAATCTCACTGCTAATACTGAACCACCATCCTTAAAAATCTCAGGAGTAAACCTGTCAGGGCCTGCTGCTCTCTCTCGCTTCAGATTTCCTATAACTTTTTCAACTTCGTAAAGAGACGGAGGACCTACATTAACTTGCCATTCAGGTTGACTGGAGATCGTGGGAAACCGAAGTGTGGCTGAAGGCCATTTGAACTGATCCCTGAAGTGTTCTGCCCATCGATCCAATCTCCTGGATTGAGAATGTATAATATATCCATCTTTCTTTGAGAGTGTTTTGCTAACAGTAGGTTTCCTTAACAAGTCTGAACAATTGTCTGATATTACCTATTGCCGCTGCATTTTCCATCTCTCTTGCTTTCGCTACCCACCACTGTTCGCGATCATTGCGTAGACTTCTTGTCAGGTTGCGCTTAAGCTGACTCCGCTCTTCACTATGTTCAGAGTCAGGTGGAATGAGTTTCCGAGCATCTATCAGTGCGATAGATGCTGCTGAGATCCAGTGTTGCTCCCTAACCTTACGGGTTACCGTACTAGCAGATATCACTGCTGTTTCCACATCTTTTCGGATATCATTCCATGCTGCCTCGTGGTGGGCATCACATACATGGCTGCCTAACTGTTTTCCTAGTTGTTCCTGAAATATACTCTTAGCTTGACTATCGTTAAGTAGGGCCCTAAGATATTTACTTGCAGCGTCTTTCCTACGTCCAGTAAGACGCAGACAGATGCGCGCTCGTACTAGAGCATGATCTGAATCTAAGCATGTGCTTCAGAATGAGCGACAGTCTTCTATCGAGCCCCTTCATCGGTGGCTGATAGCGATGTGATCTATTTGGGTCCAACGTTGAGACGAATTAGAGGGTCTCCATGTTAAAAGATGTTTTTCCTTATGCTTAAAGTTAGTATTTGCAAGAAAGAGGCGGTTATCCGAGCATAGCTGCAACAGACGGTCGCCATTATCTGTTCTTTGAGCCACGACACTACAAGATCCACCCAGGTGTCTTTCCCTATTGCTTAGTTTACCTACTTGAGCATTAAAGTCACCGGCCACTATTACTACATCCGAGCGCATAGCTTTTCGGAAGAGGTCAGAGAGCTTTCTGTAAAACTCATCTTTTACATCATCTGCGCTGCAGTCAGTGGGAGAATAGACAGAGACGACGAAGAGGCAACGACGAGTGTCCCTATCTTTTCGGATCATTACTGTTCCGTTTAGTCGGATAGCGCACAAACGACTGTTCACTGGGATCCACTCTAGGAGAGTTAGTTCTGCCCTAGGAATTAATGCTATACTTATGCCGGCGAGGCCACGGGAAGCAGAATCAGGGCTTCCAGATACACGAAGTGTGAATCGTGTTGGTTCTTTATTTTGGCATGGTGAGGTCAGATGAATGACGCTACTCGGATCCTGTATGCGCGTTTCGGAGACGCAGCACACATCGATGGCGCGGGATTCTAAAGTCCTAGCTATGGAAGCCTGTTGTCCTATTTGGCACAGTGTTCGGACGTTGAAAGCTCCTATGTGTAGTTTAGAGCGTGGTTTCAGGAGACCAGGAATAGCGTTCCGCGTACTCGAATCGTTTGCCCTAGCGGTGCGAGATGATAAAGAGACGTGAGGAGGTTTAGTCATGGAGATAAGAGAGGTATTAGGAGGTGTAGGAAGGATTTGAATGTGACCAACTTGCTTTCGTGCGCTGTTACGGGTATGAGGGCTGATGTCACTTCCCGGCTGCCCACATCATGGAAGGGTATTTCTTGAGGAACCTGAAAAGGAAATTGGATTAGTGTTGGTCTTAACGACTTGGGAGCATGACCGCAGAGCCCAAGAGACAACTACTTGAGGCCGGTCGCGCACGGCGTTTTCGTGGAAGGTTTTTTAATGTTAGCTCCGTTCTTTAAATGGCTTTACCGCCCGAGACGGAAATCCGTGAGGTAAGGTGAGGCGTGACATTTTTAGGGTCGACTTTTTCTAACCCCACCTCTCCTTGTGGGAAGGCAGCATCGCTGAAGATGCTGGTTGTCCGAGGGAAACACCTTACTGCTGTCACACCTCTCTACAGTCGGCAGTACGACTTCGCCCTCAGACCTTGAGTTGCTGCTTTTAGTCTTACCGTTCTCCAATCGACCTGCCTGGCATGGTAGAACCCACAGGAAAATATGTTCCAACCAATATAGCTCGGTTGGGTCATCACGATAGGCAAGCCCGACCACCGCGTCAAGGTAGCAGCTTCTGTCGGGATTGGTCGTTTTAATCTTCCCGTTGGTATTTCATATTAATTGATCAGTGTCTTTTTCACATGTACTTCCTGTGCGGTTTGTCTTGATATTGTCATTAAGTCACAAGCATCATGGGTAGAGATGGATGTTGGCTAGCAGTGAAATCCAGAACACGCATTCCGTCCTATTTGGTTAATCGTTAACTCTGGGATGTAGGGACATTCAGCTGAATTTCTAAGGTAGGATTCCATTTTTAACCGACATTCATCTCTGTTTATGGTAAGAATTATAGTTTGAAGTATTTTCAACAAAATACACGGCAGAGTATGTACTATTCATATCATCTTGATGTTGTTATGTAAACTATTCAAAAGGAAAATAATCGGAAAAGGCTTTTTTATAAATGTTGGTTTGGATTACATTTTGTGTAAAGTGAACACTTTGTTCCAGTTATTATCTGTTGGATCTCAACTTACTACATACTATTTGACAATTAGATTTCGAAACAATCCTAATATAAAAGAATCTCTTTGCAGATTTGAGATGATTGTTTTTCTTTTTTTTTCTAATAAGATGATTTTCGTTGAAGTTAGTTGTATAATCAACTTATTGTGAACAATTTCTTTGCTTACGTGGCAGTTCCCTATTTTATGAAGTTCTTCAGTGTATCGGTGAATGTTTTTAGCTATAAGGATAAAATTTTGCTCAATCCCTGGTAAATTGTATCGGAGGATATTGGTTTACCCATGCATACGATCCTCCTGTATATTTGGGTTTTTCTGAAAGTCTTGTTTTATTTTCTTTTAATCAAAGCACCCAAGAATGGCTTTCTTTAGTAGTTTTTTGTGCCTTTTCCTTTAAAATTTAAATTTTTCGACTGCGAATAAGCTGTGAAATATTAATTAACCATGAGATTAATTTTTTCAAGTTTCCGTTATAATATCAAGGAAATCGGAAATTATATCATTGATTACTCATCGATAGCATTAGCTTTGATAGTCACAGTATATCAATATTTAGTTGAATGTTGAATTATTTAAACGGTTAGATACCTACTTACTGATCTTACGGTATTGTCACACGGTAATTGTCTCGAAGTAATTGACACTAATTATAATGAAATTCCTAGGTCTTATGGTTTTTATCGATACTAGCGCGCAATCGATCCTAATGAATACCAAAAACACTTATTTCGACTACTCAAGGTAATATGTAGTTTTATTAGGTATGGTGTATCTCTAGTTCTGTAAGCTTGTTTGATGCAATCCAGTTCAAAATGTAAAATGAATGAATTAAATCTTACTTTGTTATGGTAACTTGCTCGTCTATTGCTATTTTCATCTCAGAGACTGATAATTTTTCTATTTCCCCTTTTGCTTGTGTTTTTTCTTCCTTTCTTTCTCTCTATCTTCCCAATCAATCACTCACCTGTTCCATTTTTTGTAATCCTCCAGTTGAAATTACCTTGTCTAAATTAGAAGGTAAATCATATAGATATTTATGCATATATATGTGTGAAATTTTATTTACATATACATACCTCTGTGTTTATATGTGTAAAAATGTATCCACGTATTTTTCTTTTGCAGTCTCATCTCATTTCGCATGACATCAAGCTAATTTATATTTTCATCGCTTTTTTCCAATGCATGTCTGATATATATATCTGGTTGACCCATCACCATGATAATTTGCATCGATTGGAATATCAAGTTAATGAATTATTGACCACTACTGTTTTTGTATTCATTTCATATCATTTTTAAGTTGGGGTACTTACTTGTTGGGAAAGTTGTGACCGATTTTCTTGCGATTCATCAGATGAATGTCTGTATAGATACTTTCATTTGAATGTCACTTTTTTTTCACACGAACATCGAAACCTGAATTTGTGTCTGATGGAAATCATCAACTTAATAACCATCAATAATCAAAGATCGTTGAACATTTTTATTTCGTCGTAATAATCTTGGGGTATCACAACGATGTGATCCACAGTCCCTTATATTTGAATCATACGACAAAGTGTTTGTCAATGTTAATTGTAAACATTTTTAATTAGAAAACAAAGCTTCTATCGTTTTTGGATAGATTGAATCAATCAAGAAATTGATCGGTCAATATATCAGTCGTCAGAATGTAGGGTCAAGTAAAGCAAAAAACTGGCACATTCAGCAAAGTAATGCAAAATCGAATCAAAGAAACGATCAATGTATAAAAATGTAAGACAAAATAAAAGGGATTTCAAGTTGAACCAAAAGATGATCATCATACACATTAATACAGAGAGTTAAGGGAATAATGTTATGTGCAGTGTGAAACAAGAAGTCTCTTTGACCACACACATGGTGTGTTTTTCTTACACAAGCAGACACACACACATACAAAAGAATTCTACACGGGTGTCCAAAATCCCTCTACATGACACGAAAGCACCCTAGTCATTCTCAATTATGGCTCCCCTAGCTAACTTGTCAATGTCACTGTAGGGTGTAGGATTTACCCTAGTACGCCTACATACTTTCTTTATGCTAGGGTGTCATAAGATATTCAAACATAAAGAAATCATGTTTTCTATATTAAACAAATCAAATTAAATAATCTCTCCCAATCTCACCAACTGAGTTTTCAAACACATGTCGTTGTACCCCATCACCAACCTAATGAGTATGATTACCAAGTAGGAAAGTTGTGTGTCCCTTTATCATAGTGTGCTGCTACAATACATCTGTACGTACAATATTCATTGGTAATCTTAACATCAACATTACCAGTAAAACCAACTGAGTTACTAATCTTTTTTTTAAGTAGTTCATAATATTTAAAAATTTATACAAATAATACATAAAGTGATGTGAAGTGGCTTTCGATATCACACATTAAATAAGTATACTTGTTTCACCGCAGCCATAAACTCAGCACTGTTTTAATCCTCAAATGATTTCTCCAGTTTTTTCTTCTGTGCTCCCCTGTCAAGATAGATTGGTTGAGTGTGCTCAGTTTGACAGTACAATCTCATCAATCTAAGTGTTGACATTGTCATATTATCATCATCCTCATATACCTTATGAAACAGGCTTTGAACTTCATCCGTAAAGTGGAATCCAACATGGGTCCGTATGTCTTAAAGTCCAATCACTACTCGCAGTATTTACAAAACATCCAGTTGTTTAATACCACAGTTATATTCCGCTAGTCGGACGATATATCGAATTCCATTGTAAGTTTGGTCGTGAAATGCATCTAGCTTGTAATATAGTTACCAAGCCTAATATCTCTATTAGGGGAAAGCCATTCAACGTAAACGTATCGAAGGCGTATTGCTGAGCAAGCATAAAGTCTTCCTTGAATTCCATCTTTATGTTGTCCGTTTTGGTTGTGATTAACTTTTTTATAGTTATCTCAGTTTCGAAAAAAAAATCGTTAATCATTATTGCTGTACCACCCGTATGTTTTACCCTTTATCATTCTCATTGTCATCAAATATCAGTGTTTGTTTGTTTGCGTACATTTCGATTAACATTTAAACATGTGCACATATCCATACTTTTATCAGATTTATGGTTGGCCAGTTCCATAAATCTCCACGTTTTGGATTTACGGGTAACATTAGTGTTCGGTTTCTCTTTAGAAAATTATATGAATCATCAATTTATTTATATTCATATGTGTGCATTTCGGTGCTGATTCATTGGTGTCTGTCTCTAACCTTATCCACCTTGTTTTACAGATAAGCTGATACAAACTGTCTGTAACTAAAATGTCTTCTGTTGTGGGAACAACTATAAAGTAAGAATAATTACATACGAGCGGGCGAGAGAGAGAAAGATGAAACTTAACTGACCAAAAACTAAAATACTATAGTTTGGATCATTCAGTTCATTGAAATTCGCTGAATAAAAAGAAATAAGCAATTTACTTGTACCTATAGTTCTGTTAGATGATTTGACGTTCTTATGTTTAATCTCATATAGCAGATCGACAATCCAATACTCACTTTTTTTCTTGACTCTTCATCACTAGGTGATTATGAGAATCAGTTATTTTTGAAGACACCAATTTGACTGTCACCGATTTTGTATCTAAGTCTCTTTGAGTCATCTGGAAGACTAGTGAGAAATAATAACGTTTATACTTCAGAAAACTTTACTTTTATCAAAGCATTGACATTTATCTCGCAAAAAACCTACGCCACGGTAGCGTTCAAAAAAATATTCGCATCAGAATACATTTATCTTTTTAAAAACCAACAAGAATATTGATTTATTGAATTTCTGATAGTTTATATCAGATAAATCAGCATTCTTAACTAAGAATAAGTTTTCTTTGAGACATGACAGAAATTTTCACTTTATCCAAGAAAACAGAGGATGTGGGGAAAGAGAATATACATATGATGAATTCGGATTTATTATTCGTTTTGTCTTTCTCAATTTAAATCACAAACAGCTTTGTTTAAACTAACTTCAGTTTACTGCTCACCAGCAGTTTCGTTTTGTATTTCAAAAATCCGTTTCTTGCAGTTAATTCGTTATCATCTCCATCTTTTATACAATAAGATTCGTTGTGAGGTTAATGTGAAAAGTCATGTTCTGAGAAATATAAAGACAATTAGTCATCAACTACTACTGTCAGCTCCTTACAGAATCGAAATTAATCATGTTTTGATTGGGCTCCTTGTTATAAATCAAACAGTTTTCGAATGTATTCAAACTTTAGTCATTTCCCGTAAGCCATTACACTCGTTGCTTTATTGTCAACGTAGTTGAATTTTTATGCCACTTATTTCAATCAATAGTCAAATTTTATGATAGTCATTGAAGTTACTTTAGCTATGAATATAGTTATGTGTTAAATCTAAAGTAGTTATTTTCAAGAAATCGTAAAATATAACGAAATTATTCATAATTCTTTGCTTCCCATTCGTTCCATAGCAGTCATTAGTTGACTAAAATGATCGATGTTTTTTGCATATTACCTACCTGAGTTAAATATATTTTATTTCCCATAGTCATTATCAATTTTAAAGTATGATTCTATTTTTCGCTTTCTTCGTTACTTTGAATTCCTCGTTTCTTATCATGATTTAACGCAACATTTCACTTAATAACATGTGGAATGTAGTGTTATCATGCCAATGAATATTTCAAGTTGAAAGTATATAAATGTATATGTGTATATATTATAATTATCAAATATTTATTCCACTCATTGAATTTATTTGCATGTCCTCTCTTTGATGGCTGTGGTAAAGGTCTGTCTACTTTTGATTTTTCATTTTTTGTGTGCTGTGACTACTTATATTGGAAAAAAGTACTAAATTAGAGTTTCTTGAAATTAAATACAGCATTGTTCCAGTTAGAGCTTGGTATTCTCAGCTTTAATATTTTCTAAGATCAATCAGTCTATGTTGAAATTGTGAATGATATAGATTTTATTGTGTTTAACAGTAGTTATCTACTGAATCGAAATGTGTAAATTGGAAGCACACATTTTAGTTAATCTCAATGTTCCTAGCTATCATTATACCAAACTCCTCGGCTTCATGTTAATATCCCAATGATTGATAACAGATAGTTATTAGCAGGACGTAGATTGGATTAAAGTATGTTCCATGAAGGATTGTGTTGGGGCACGCTGTTTGGCTGTTTTCCAACCAATCAGCGCTAGTGGAGACTTGGAGAAGACTAGAATCGTATGTAAAAATTATAGATAAACTAACGTTTTTCTTATTTCGATCCCTACTTCCATCCAGATCTCTTATTTGGAATATAATTACGTTCCTGTTCAGCTGCATTCTGATTTGGAAACTTGTTGAGTGAAGTAGTGCCCAAGAATATTAAATAATAAGAGTAGCTGAGTCGTAATAAAGAAATTTCTAATAATACTCAAAACTCTTACACTATGGCATAGTTCAGTGAATCAAAAATACCTGAATTATTTTTGTAATAAAAACATTGGAGTATATACTTGTACATAAATCACACATAAACACAATAGTGCTTTATATTAACATGTAAAGATTCATGACCTAAGGGTAGAGACAACTGTTTAATTTTCTGATGTTTTCAATATTCTTGCAAACAAAGCCAATTTATTATAAATGTATAATTAGAATTTAATAATTTCTGAACACTTTTTTCGCAAAACTGTTAGTGAAAAAATATTTCTGTATTGATTATCTCAAGAAAGGTAAATTTTAAAGTACGTCAATTACTGCATACATTTTTTTAATGATTGTCTCTGTGTAGTTGTTACCATGTGCCAGTTTATTCACTCAACTTTTTAGCACAGTGTTTGTATGAAGACTAATAACACACTGTCTAACTGCATTCAAACTAAAGTAGGCCAAAAGAAGTTTAGACTTTGAACTCACTAATTGAAACATTTCACAATTCATGTATTTGAAATAAATTCACTTGGTAAAAACAGTAAGAAGAAAATCTCTTATTACTTTTTTTAAGGTGGGATAGGTCTGTTAGGTGGACCAGGTTTTGTACCTGGTACAAATGATCTGGGACAAATTGATTCTGCACTTCAATCACCTGCATCACCATCACGTCCATCAATCAGTGAACATTGTCAGTTGATTTCTAGTTTAACGTCTTCCCTTAATACTGTTGGTGCTAGTAATAATACTAATAGTAGTAACTGTACTACTGCTACTACCAATATCGGACCAACTTGTGTTCGTACCATTTGTATAAGTCCTGATGGTCGTCATCTAGCAGCTGGTGATCGTGATGGTAGTCTACGGTACGTGTGGTTTAATGACAATGTTTTTGATTTTTTCTAATTGCTTATTGTGATTAATTTTCTAGTATTTCATAATTTGTATTGGTTATTTTGATCCTACAGTTGATCTAATGGACTTCAAGTATCAGCCGCTTTCGACATATGTGCATTCTGTGTGAACTGCCTTGATATTGTCATTACGTTACAAGTATTGAAAGTAGCGTTAGACAACCCCTAGCTGTGGGATACAGGACGCACATTTTGTTCTATTTGTGACTCGTCGAGTGAATGTACCATCACGCTAATGTTGATTTTCACACCAAGACTCGAATGCTGTGCTTGTGACTTAGTTGCATTTTCGAGGGTTCAATCAGATTTAAGTTTGTGGCTCTGGAATTTTCACGCGAAATTCGGATGCGATGGATCTTCTGTCTGTAAAAATATCCTATATCTAGTTCTTAAGACGCCTCAAATTGCTCAATACATCTGTTGTGCGACCGTACAATAAATGTAACATTGTATGTACAAGAAACGCCCTACTCTTTATTCAGATTGTATCTGTAACACTGACTGCTCGTTAGGCGGATCAGATTTAATTCAGAGTGTAGTCAAGTTTATTTGTGCGGTTAAAAAGTATTCTCATATTTCAACCTCAACTCCTAAGCATAACTCTAACCCTATTGCTACTTTTAATTCTTAATCTTATGCCGTTTTGTGCACTATGGTAAATAATTCAACATATAAAGGATCGTTTATCATGTCGAAACTATTTATTCTATGTAATTCAATTTAATGCAATGATTAATTGTTCTAGAACTAGACACTGTTTTTCGATTGTCCAATGATTCGTTGAGGACCATCGGTTTAGTTCTACGATACAGAAGTGTGCGAGTTGCGGGATAATTTATTGGAAATATGTAAAACTTCACCGGGTATAATTGCTGGTAGTACATAAAAAAGATGAATTACCTTTAGATTCCACTGCTTTCATCTATTTTTTCTCGCTTGTTTTTTATTCCTCTTTACTTACTACTAATATATGTTTATGTGTGTTCTATAGTATAATTTATTTTGTCAAATAGATGAAAACTAGTTTATAATCGTCCGCCTCTTGAACTTTCTACTGTCATTTGCGTAAACTTTATGGGAATGTTTTTTTAAATATTCCTTTTGTATTAATTCATCATTTTGAAGGGGAAAAAAATTTAGAATTGCTGGTATGAGACAAACGATCACTTTTATGTGTGTTGGGTCTGTTTTCGTGCTTCGTCTGTTTCTTTTGTCCGTATATAAATGAAGACGATTGTCGTTGGTTATATGTTGACATACTTACATAGTGTTAGATGGTCGAAGGTAGTTGACAGGAAACCGTAGACCTATGTTTCTTGCTAGCTGACACTCATCGACAAGGTTTCTTGCGAAACTTTAACCCAATATGTCGAGCTTTCTAACCGTAGGTGTTACCATTGAGCTATTTGTGTTGTGATTATTTTATTTATTGAAACACATAAACATTGGTATAAAGAGGCGCCAAATATATGCAATCCATAATTCATCATTCGATTTGTGTGAGGGCTGTAATACTTCCCGGGAGCTCAAACCAATGAATGTGGTTTTCTTAGGAGGCCACTCTCCGAGCCTTTAACCTACAGCTGTAATCTACAAGGCAGTGGAGAGATGTTAGGAGATGCAGTCCCATGGTAGCCGTTGACCAACAACAGGTTCATACGCCGTTTGTTAGCCTATGTTATATAGTCTTAGATAATCAGTTAAATAATATTTGCTAACTGAAATTAAGTAACAGACACATGAATTCTATTAATGTAGGCTATAAGAAGAACTGTCATTTAGTTATAAGTATTTACAGAATCGGTCTAAAACATCAATACTCATCATGAATCACATGTTTTCGGAGAAAATTTACAACTTTAATAAATTTATGGGTGCTTGGGTCAGATATAGATTAGGCTGTTTGATAGGATGTACTTCCTTTCACATAAGTATACTTCCATATTATATATTTTGATTACTGAAATAAAAATTTAGTAATGCAAGTTAAGACAGGATAATTTCATTCAATGATATTATTAACACTCTCTGCACCCAACAAACAATCTTATTATATGAGTTTGAAACTTACTTCAAAGTTGGATAAGGTTTTGTTTCAGGACTTCTCTAACATGTATCTTGTTCTGTAGTAGATATTTTATGTTTTTCGCAAAGTCCGAACCAGAGGGGAAAAAAGTTACACCGATAAAAAAATTAATCCCATATTTTAGATACCATCAGTGGTCTCAGTTGATTTTTGTTGTTACTCATAATAATCACGTAGCCACAATCTAAACTTGTCCAAACGAAACTCAAGTACAAATGACTCAAGCTTTGTCGAAACATTTACACAGTACGTTAGATAACTTGTACAAATATATTTCTTTACGCTATTGGAGTCCTTTTTATTCTAGACATAAAAGGGGGTTTGCAGTAACGTTTCAAATGTAGGCGTAGAATGTCCGTTCTTTTGTGAAACTGTTTGATGTATAATAACGCAGTTTAACTTTTGTGCTTGTCATCCAATATGTGAAACATTGCTTTGCAACTGTTTTATTCAGCTACTTGGGTTTTAAAGCTGTGATTTGAAAATGGCTTTTTATTAAGACATAATTACTTACGTACATACTTATGTGCTTACGCCTGTTATCCCTCCCGGAGGAGCTAAGGTCACCCATCAGCATTCTCCTGAGAACTTGTTTCCAATTGTTTCCTGTTCCTATTCATCCTTTTCATGTATGATTCCGATTCCTGATGCGGTGTGTTCTTTGCCTTCCGCCTTTCATTTTCCCTTCAGAATTCCAAGTTAGTGCTTGCCTCGTGATGTAGTTCGGTGATTTTCTCAATGTATGTCCTATCTAACTCCAGCGTCTTTTCCTAATTTCCTCATCAGCTGGAAGCAAGTTTGTTCTTTCCTTCAGTAGGTTGGTACTGATGGTATGTGACCGACAAAAAATTAGTATATTGTGTAGTCAATTGTTTATAAATACTTGTACTTTGGTGACGATGGTTGTGGTAGTTCTCCACGTTTCATCCCCGTACGGTAGAACTGTTTTTACGTTCGTATCGAAGATTGTGACTTTGATGTTGGTTTATGGACGGTTGTTTTGAGTTCCATGTGTTTTTCAACTGTAGGAATGCTGTTCTTGCTTTGTCAATGCTAGCTTTTATATATGCATCAGATCCTTCTTGTTTATCTATGATGCTACTTAGATACGTGAAATTTCCCTTCTCTCCCAGAGTTTCTCCATCAATTGTGATTAGGTTGGTTGGTGTTCTGTGTGTTGTATTTGGGATGTTGGTTTTTCGGTTGTGTATGTTGAGGCCTACTGTTACAGAGGCTACTTACTGCTACACTAGTTGTGTTGACCTGTATTTTTTGGTGTGTATGAGATGGGATAGAGGAGGTAGTTCATCTGCGAAGTCCGAATCTTCTAATTGATTCTGAGCTGTCCATTGTATTCCGTGTTTTGTCTGAGGTGTATAGGTCATCATAGTATAGTCAACCTGTTATCTTTCCAATTTTGATTTGTCTGACGGCAATGCTGATTTCTTCGATCGTTGGTGTAGTGACAGCTATAAAACTGTCTGTGTGTGCTACTTCGATGTCCAGTGGGTTCTATGTGACTAGTTTATTCAAGAGTTTTGCAAAGTGCTCTATCTATCTATTCCTCTGTTCTTGAATCTTAGTGGTCAACTTGCCGTATTTATCCTTGACTGGTCTTTCTGGTTTACAATATTTTTACGCCAGATTCCACGTTGTGCCATATTTCCTTCTCTTTCAGCATTTTCCTCTGTCATCGCTAGATCTCCCACTTTATTCTGCTTGTCAGCTCTGTTGCCCCTCTTCACTTTCTTCTTTGCTCTTAGAAAAGAGTCTGGATTAGATGTCTATTGGTATATCTATGTTACGGAACTTGATTAAAGGTGAATATTTAGTTACTACGTCTCCTTCAATTCCTTAAAGCTTATTTTTTTCACATTTTTAAAAATAAAATGTCCAAGTTGAACGTTGTTTGATTATTTACCTGACAATTTCATCCAACAACTAAAAAACCTCAAGTAAACCTAAGCTCCTACTTGTGATGCTCAAGGCATGTGAGAAAAGTATCTGAAGCTTTAACTTACCGAACTGGATTTCAGTCAGTTCGTTCTTCTAAATTCATATAATACCTTATAATTCATATAATCTTTTATTGAATTCAATTCAGAATAATTTGGTTTGAAAGGGTAGTTAGCATAACCAGTGTTTGCACAGTTAAATCGTTGCCTTTTAGTTTACATTTCACATGTTTATGTTTAATTCAGTTTTCTAAATTTTAGTTTTCTGACTAAAGTTATTTATCTGGTAGTTATGGGGATTATGAATAATTTAAAACTTTCTATCCACCTTCTGGATTTTCGATTGATCTGTTAACTTTTGCTGATTACAACATCTATGTTAAACAGTCTTTTCACGTACACCTAAAACAACGTACTTTGACGAGCGATTCTCACTGGTGCAGAAGTAAGTTTAAAGAAAGCTAGGGGCCACCAAAACAGGACATGAGATGAATCTGTGAAGTGATTGAGCAATATTTGTAAATACAAGCCAGTAGGTTGAGAACTACGAGATAGCTGGGATGTTGGCGACTAAGAGTCATTCACAATAATTCAGATACATTCACTTCTTTTCTTGCCGTCGATTTTGAATTCCAGTATTTATTCAAGCATATTTTTTATTCTATGTTTTCAAGTCATATTCTCAATGTTTAATCTTTCTCATTATCAATCTTGATATATTATTATTTCGGTTATGTTGGTGCACATTCATCTAAATTCATCTCATTGTGCTAATGAAATGCGTCAACCTGGGCTTAACGTATATATGCTCCAGGCTCCATATTGATTATGACTGACTGTCTTTGTACACAGATCTATGTACATAATTAATAAAATTATGCCTGCATGAACATATGATTGTATATTTATATCTCTTCTATTTATTGACCGTTAATAATTTTACATTATAAATAAATCATATGATATTTAAATTAAAGAAGTTTCTAAACTTAAGATAAATACTGCTACTATTATTATTAGTTAACCCGTTAATCGATTTATAAACTTGTATACATATACATATATATATATTTTAGAGTTTATTCTTTGGAGACATTAAAATTATGCTATCAGATACCAGCTCATGACAATGAAATTCTATCGTTGAGTTTCTTTCAATCATATTCAGGTAAGCTGTCATTTAGAATTTTTTTCTTTTTCTAAATTGTTTAATATCTACCAAAATGATACTGTTCCCTTGAACAGGTTGTTCTTTTTTTTGTCTTTCCGAATACTCAATATGATTCTAAGTAAGACTTGAAAGTTTTGTGAATATTTATTTATCAGTGAATTATTTATCTACCACGCATTTGTTCTTCTATTTTTCATTTTTATATATTGTTACTAATTAAAATTATTTGTTATCGTTGCAACTAGTTGTTGAGGATGCTAGATCCACAGAAATCACTTGTTAAACTTCCCATTTTCGTAATTTAATTTTGGAAATTCCAGTTTCTCATTTTCGCGACAAAAACGCCCACTTTTACCTTCAGTTTGTATTTCCTATTGGGATAGATCTCAAATGTCATTGGTTCGTTTCCTGTTCTAGTACGCTATTTCGGACGTTTTCCTAGGTCATTTTTGTACTGTATATATACACATGAGTTGTGTGCTTCTTTGTTCGTGCTTCCAACTAATTGTGGGATATGCGTTTCCCTTAGGGGGAGGTCTGGAGTGCAATTGGATAGTTTATCTTATCTTTTTGTTTTTCTGACTTTCGTTCCACTCGCCAGTTTAGGTGATAAGTTAATCTCTTCAAACTTAACATTAGTTCACAAAGATAAACAATATTTCATTTTTCATAAGTATAGCGACTTATTTGTTCTGTAGATGGATTTCTGCAGTAACACAGTATTTGAAAAACCAGTAATAAATAATTACTTTCAGCTAAACTTAGCATTTCATTACTATTGACCTACTGAATATGATAAGATAAATGGTAAATGAATTGCCTGTTTTCAGACCATTCCATTGTTTACCCTTTCCTTTCCCATTATCTACATGCTTCGATATTATTGTGTAGTTTTTTACTCGCCAAATGGTTCTTTCTCTTTTTTCAGTACCTCAACTTTTATTGTTATGCTCTGCATCACGTGATCGTATGATTCATATATTTGATCCGAATAAAGAATATTCTCGTGTACAAACAATATCTGATCATTCGGGTGCTATATTTTCTGCAAAAATCATTGAAACAGATGATGGTGAAATTCGTTTAATCTCTTGTGGTATGGATAAATCATTATTATTTAGAATACTTGAAGTAAGTGTACTTATTTATTTATGCATTATAGTGGTGAAATGTAACTACATTACAATGTTTGAATAAAGTCAATTTAAATTTGTTTTTCCAACCGTTGGTAATGTATTTCTGCTGTATAGTAAATCCCATTACAAATTTATAATTGGATTTAAAAACCATTTGAGGTTGATATGACTACAGCTTTACAATTCCATTCAGTAGAAGAAAAACTGATTTTTTTTTCCGAGTAAATTAAAACGAGATATTTTATATTTTATGAAATAATAGTAAATGCTAAAATTTACTTTCTAAGTACATATTTATCTAATCTATATTAAATTATAGCTGTTGTATTATATAGGCTTATATTGCTTCTCAATTAATTAATTCAATATGTAGGTGGAGCAAGATTCGAACTTGCTATTCTTGATGTTCACTTGTGTTCACTTCATTCATTCTGTATGTTTTACTAAATTTTAATTAGTATACATTTAGTGTATGGTAAAAAAGGACAACTAAAGGGATGTTTTTAGTGAATAACATAATTCTACCTAAATATTTAATATTTTATGATTACAGTGTAGTTACGATTATTGTGAAATGATAAAATGTATCACATAATTGGTTATGGAAGCAGTATTATTAAGAATATTATTATTTGATCTTTTTTTATTTATTTTGAACTTATTTTTTAAATCAAAGCCTGATGAATCTGGTCAAACAGCACATTTCGCACTTGAACACCATCTAGTTGGACGTCATTCCCAATTAGATGCTGCTATTACACCAATGTTACCTAGTTCAATAGAAAATCGAATGAATTCCACAAATCGTAAACGTTATCTGGCTGTTGCATGTCAAGATAGAAGGTTACGAATTTATAATGTTGTCACTGCACGTCCTATACGATGTTATCGTGGAAGTTATACTGAAGATGGTTTTCTAGTACGTTGTTCAATTGACCCAACTGGATCGCTTATTGCAACTTCAGGTAAATTGTTTCAAGAGCATGTTCGTTTAAACTAACTTTTTGCATCCCATGATTTTTTTGATACATATATTGTTTAAAATGTTTGCGTTCGGTGAGACGAAAAAGATCATTTTAACTTTCTATGTTTAACAGGTTTTGAAGATTATCATATTTATTTCACAAGAAATGAGGTTTTAAATTGTTAGTTTGAGCCTAATATATTATTATCTTTCTCATTTAACAATAATGGATCCTTGCAGCAGCTGAAGACTTTTGTACATTCTTAAAATTAAACTTTCATTCTTCAATTTTGTAGTGATAGAGTTTAAAGAATCTGTTTTTCAAACTGTACGATTCTTGGGTGTTACTTTAACTTTTCAATTACCGGCTGACGAATAAATTTTACTAGCTTGGATTAGTGGTGATAAATATTTAACTGGTTTTATTCTTGGTATTACGACATCAGATTAATTCATGAATGGTTTGTGGTAATACTCAAAGCTGATCATATTTCAAGATGAAGTTAACAGTTTGTTTCTAAATCTGAGGGTTCCTAAGTTTAACATTAAGAACCTCATGTATTTGTAGTACAAGAAAGACTGTTCATTGATTGTTCGGTTCCTATTATTTTTTTACTTTGGGTGTATTCATAGTGAAAATAAAAATAGTATATTTACACCTACAAATAAATCATCGCTAACTAAAAATTATCTTCAAACTATACGATGCCCACACAAAAAGTACTTACTATTCATAATATTTGCATACTAAAGGCTGACTAGTTTTTTTAATGGATTTTTCAAGGTTCAAATAAAAAACGTTGATTAATAATGCCAGACAAATTCAGAATGACACAGTAAATTCACATTAATATCGTTGGACTCTAGTCGTGGAATATCGTTAATTAACTGTTTATGCATACACTAGTAAAACTTTGGATACCAATTAAGTTTATCGCACTAATGGGAGACCTTGAGTTCTGTTTCATATGATTTCGATCGAATGTTTTGTCAAGAAGTCTTGAACTAACTTGATGCATTTGTCAATTACTCGGTATGAGGCATACTTTAAGTTTGAAAGCTAATGGGACCTCCTGGTGTCCCGAACCGAAATAAATAGAAAAGAGTTCGAACCTGGGACTTAGTGACCAAAAGTCGAACGCCTTGGATTTTAAGCCATCATCGTTCTTGAGCTATAATGAAATCGATATTCAGTGTTCTGGTAATATTCATTAACCTTACTAATATCGGTTCATGATTCAAACATGCATGTATGTTCGTTAACTGTAGTCAATTTTCAAAGGTGATGTTATATTTATACTTGTATTGATAATCATTTTCCCTTACGTATATTTAATCAATATAATTAATTATTGCATTTTACTTCCACTTAATTTCATTATTATTTAAATTGTAGGTTCAGATAAACAGTTGAATTTATTTCATTTACTCACGGGTGAATCAATTGCTACATTATACGGTCATTCAGAATTGTGTTTAGGCTTAAAATTTCTACCTAATCTACGTTATTTAATATCGGTTAGCGCTGATAGTTGTATATTTGTTTGGCGTTTATCAGCAAATTTAGCGCAATATTTACATGAACGTATCACTACATCATGTATGTTGAAAAATATATTAGGCAATTCGATTAGTTATCCTCAATTAGACGGAATTCCATTAGAAACAACGAATGCAAGACTAAAAACTGGTAGAGAAGATAATAATGGTTTGTTAAATATTAATCGTTCCGATTATTATCATATTCGTAATGATGATAATGATAATATTGATGTTGATACAAATCAAAATATAACATCTCGAAAATATACTAGTAAACACAGCAACAGTAATAATAATAGTGACGATGTTCTAAATGATTGTAACAGTATGTTATACAACAGTGAAATGAATGAATATGAGAATGATGTTGACGATGATAATGATCTCGATAACTATGGTGATGATGATGATGATGACGACGTAACATCATTTAGTCAAACAATGCCTCCGTCTGAATGGAATGAATCACTTGCAGAATATGATAAAATTGAAAACTTCGATAACGATGATGAGAATGCCGATGATGATATTGGTGGTGGTAATGCTGACGATGATTATAATCATGGTGAAGATAGTGAATTCGATGCGTTTCCTTTAGATGATGTATTATCAGTTAATGTTACAAATCCTATTACTAACCAAATGAACCATTTGATGAATAAGCATATTGTAACGAAACATAAATCTATTGTCGAGTAAGTAATTTGTCATTAGTTTCTTTGACTATTATTTTGAGTCGCTTTTATTGTATTCTTTTTCTTCTAGGATAAATTACTTTTTGATCGGATCAATACTAAAAAGCCGTCAGATCTAAAAGTAACTTTACGGACTGATATCGTATCTTGTTTTAGCAGCTTCAGATTTTTACCAGTTGATTCCTCTCCTAATCCTAATAGCTTATAAGTTTAGATGTCGGCTAAATATTCGTAACAACTAGTCAATTCACTCGTTCTCTGTGTAACTGATATACTGTCACTATTTAACACTCTAAGCTTAACTTTTGCAGTAATTACTTTATAATCGTACTTTTTCCGTCAACAGTGTTTAAAAGATACATATATTGGTTTACTGGTTAACCACTCAACTTTTAACCATTAAGTTACAATTTTCGAGTCTCATTCCAACTAATTCGATTTATGCAACAAAGAGAGAAAGTATCACTAAAACTCACACAAAAAGAATGTAGATCAAAGCCGATTACATATATTAATGGTGACTAATTGATTTAATTTTAAACAAGTCAACAACGTTAATTTATGAGTTCTAAGAATTAAAGAAAATCACTCCTTTATTATCAAGTACATAATAAAAAGTAAACAGACCTGAATCATATTTTTTCTCTTTGCACAATATTTAACCAGAAGCTTTTTTTCTAAAGCTCATCTTGTGAATCTAACAAGAAAGTTTTAACCACTGAAATAAATATGACTTCTTGCCACAATAGACTGAAGGTTCTAATCTAGTACCTCCCACCTTGTTTATCAATGATGCTTCCCAAGCATGTAAAACTCTCCATTTCTCTCAGGACTTCTTCACCATGTTTGGTTTAGTCGGTACTTTTTGTGTTGTATTTTGTGATTTTGCTTCTATTTTAGTTCGTTAAAATATTTCATTTCTTTTTCTTACATTTTTTGTAGTGAAAACAATTCAACTAATTGGTGTGGCAATAATAAAAAAAATATTTTATCTGCCAATCACTTGATTAAATCTCAAGTTTCCGCTGCCACTGCTACTAATTATAATAGTAGTATTAGTACAGTTACAAATTCTGTCAATCAAAATAATAATGGCAGTAGTAGTAGTAATCGTAGTGGAGGAAAGAAGCCGGAATTCTATTTTAGTGTTAGCGCACTTCCAGCTTGGGCGCGCAGAAAGGTAATATAAATAGTGTTTATGATATATTTTTCGAAGTATTATTAATATTTATCATCTAAGTACTGATGTTGTATGGACATACTTTTAAAGATTATGTGGGTTTTAACAAAATAATCTAGATGAACATTCTATGTACCATGTTATGAAAACAATTGATCTCGAATTAGAGTTTTTCAACCCTCTGTATCCGTTAATCCGATGCAATCTCTGGATATTAGCTTCCGCTCTCCCAGCTTTATGGAAACAGCCTGTAAAAAGCTGTGAACTTACAGCTATATAAGAGCACCTGAGGTGGAATGGGGAACTTATTGTAAACTTGGATTCTGATTTTTTTCTCACAAAATTTCCCTGAAATGTAATGACAGAAGCAGCAAACGATATACCATATATGAATACTTAAAGCCGAAACCCCCATGTGGAGTCGTGATTGATCACACCTGAGAGGTCCAAAACTAGGATAAAACATTTGTCGGATACTGTTTAATTTCTAACCATTTTCTCAGTTGGTATCAATTCATTTTGAAAACTAACTTCTAATTGGTCATTCCAGGTCATTAAAAATTACTATATTATAACCCAGCAAGTTTGAAAATCCCCTTCTAGTTATAGCCACTAATCAATTTTTCTAACTGTTTTTTCAATTTATTCTTGAGACTGATATTGTGAATAGATTAAATTTAGAAACTATCGTTCTATTGTAACTACTTTAATGTTTTAGGTTCATATAAAATACATCATATGTGTGTGTGATTGCAAATATATACTTTTTAGCTTATTTATACGTGTAATCAGTATTATTTTTGTTATTCTAGATGTGAACATTGGGATTGTCTTCGATTAAAACGTCATCTAAACATGAGATTAGAAACCCTAGTTAGCTTTTTGCGAGTAAACCGTTTGCTAACTAAACGACCAGTTTACTGCCTAAGTGTTCTCCGTTCTACTTTATGGCTATGGAATATTGTCTTTAGAAATAGATATTCGTAGATTATTAGTACCCTAACGTACGTGTTTTCGAGGCACTGCTCGTATACTTTTGGGGCATTGAGTTAGCAATTCTGAGGTTAGACACATAGTATTATGTAACTATAGCAAGCCAATTGACGAGATAGTGAATATTTGTCGAATAAAATGATAAAGACATATAATACGTATACTCATCCATCGACTGCCTCAGAGTGCAATGATGGTTGATGTAGAATTAGGTTATAAGAAAATAGGGGTAACCAAACGAAGGCACTGGTCGTTGGAGACATTGAACGCGTTGGTAAGTGGAGACTACCTGTTTGAAGTATGCGAGATTATCGTACTTAATGGTTAGAGACTTTGAATGGCACGGCAGTTTCATCCTATTGTGGGACTATTCGGCAGCTCGCATCCGTGACCCCGAGAGTAGAACTCGAACTTAGTGCCTTCAGTTTGGCGTGCGAACGCCTAACCTCTAGACCACTGAGCCGGAATCCGACAGTGCTAATGTTAAACTCTAATCAGTCTATTTAGTTGTTGAACTCATTTAATTAGTGTATATTTATGTATATATATTTCGGCCCTTCATATTTTAATCTATTACCGTTTAACTTTTATCAATTCATTCAATGTATATATCTTTAGCTGAGTCGTCGTGAATCAGTGACCATTGTCCCAACCTCTTTGACACAGGTGATAAACATATCTTTATGTTTCTTTTGCTTTGTGTTGTTCGTTTCCATCATGTGACATTCTAGCGTTCTTCTTTTGCATATGTGTGTATTCAACCAAACCCAGATCATTGTTATACATATTTAGATTGTTTATTTTTAATTTTGTAAGTAACTGAATGATATGACCTATGTTACATAGAAGTGTATAGTTTGTTGTTTTTCTGTATGGTCTCTGTTCTCATTTTTTTGTTTCTGGTAATTTAGTTGCATAATAATAATGCACTATATTAATCAAGCTTACGATTAAATGCTGCATGTACGTATACAAACCAGCTCCTATTATCATATTATTATTATTGTTAGAAATCAAATAATTATCTTTTCTTTATAAAGTTCATTATGATTAGCAAATTATAAAAGCTTCACTTGTTACCATAGTTTCCTCCTATTCTTTGTAGTATTCATCTACACATTACATTCAGCATGAAAATCTCTGTTTTGCAAAATGTCTTTTTCATTCTGTATTCGTTATTGATGATTATTGAAACGTTATAATTGTTATCGTTGTTTGTTTTAGTATACAATAAATTCGATTGTATTTATACTCGTATAATCATTGGTCATCCATTTCACCTCATTTTCAGCACAGATCATAACAAAGTGTAAATATATTGCTTGGTTGAGCAATATATTACTAACCCATAGTTTTGAAAGTTACCAATTAATTACGGGTTAATTTTATAATCATGTACATCAATTTGTATATTAACTTGATTACAACTTACACATATGACAAAATATTTTGTAGTTATTATTTTTTTCCCTAGATCTTCGTTGACTTAGTTTTAAACTTTTTTCTCTCTCAAATTTAGTCTGTCTGTATAGTAGCTTCTTTTTATTATTTAGGTTTTGAATAGTGAATTTGACGTGAATGGATCGGATTCAGCTAGTCAAACCTCTGTAGTAAGTGGTCCAATATTGCCTGTATCGACTAGTGGTTCTTGTTCCCATGAAACAATATCTAACTATGTTTATCCATTGTCATCATCAGTCACAGCAACAAAGAGAAGATCAAAATGTACTCGTGTTCGCGGCAAAACATCAACTGAAGATATTTCTGAAAAAGTTAGTCAGTTTAATAATGTTATTATTTCACTACATAATTATTTCTAGTAATTTTTTTTTAAAAATAAAAGTCAATAAACAGTGCATTTCCACTAAATTTTGTTACTCTTGGTAACAGGGATTAGATAGAGTTAGTAATATGCTTTTTTGACTTTCTATACTGAAGTTTAACTTGTCCGAGGTATTCCTGAACCGTATATAAATTTATATTGTAGGTTTGTAGCTGGGTGAATATTCAACTTGTAAAAATAGTTTGTCACTCGGTAGCATCATTTTAACAAATGGTTTCATTGAAAGTATTGGCTAACAAATCTCTTATACGGTGGTACTACCGCCATCTCATTCGACCGAGTACTTCAATAAACAACAATTCAGGCTCATACTGTATTATTCTCTACTCCAGTTCGCCTAAAAATTAAAATGATGAATTAACACAGGAAAATATGTGTTGTCGTTACATTTGATGACATAAGAGAAAATTTGTTGATATTTTTTAGCATGGCTTTGACAATCATCTACTAACAATAAAGTAACTAGAAAGCCAAATTACAGTTTTCACATATGATATACAAATTCCAAAATGACTTATTTGACAGCTAATTTTTACCAGGTGATTTTGGAGAGATTGTCAAGAAATAAATTCTTTTTTTTCAACATAACCTAGTCTATTTATTTGCTAATAAGTTTCAAATCCTTTGTTATCCAGTATAGTTGGTATTCTTGGAATACATACAATCAATTATAATAAACAGAGAAATTTTATTTGATCAACAACTTTCCTGATTTGAACGTAAATTGTTTCCCTCGTGAAATTAAATATTTTTCAAACTGGTTATTAACATGATAAATTTTAAATATTTGCATCACTTGATGCTATAACTTCGAATTAGATGTTTTCAACAGAGTTTAATGATCGCTAGCATCGGAATCTACTACTTGCGTCTCGTCCTACTTGGGACCCGTCAGGTGAATATGTTTGCACCTAATGATAATATTCACAGCGAGATTTGAACTCAGTACCATTGACTCCAATCGCCTATCTCGTTATCAACCTAGTTACTGAGTCTAGATAACCAGTAGCTTGTGCAACAGACATGAATTTCTTACTCATTTCCGAGAATTTTTTCTTCCTGATGTCGATATCAAGGATTGTAATTGATCAGTCTCTTTCAAGATAAATACAATCTTAACGGATTGCTTTGATACTATCATTAAGTCGAAGTGATTTTTAAGCAGAGATCTTTAGTAGCTGGGATTAATATCTACTACACGCGTATGCTAATAGAGAATAATCTATTCCAATTCATAACACCAACAACTCATACAAGTAAATCAAAAATTGATGCATTTTGTTGTGAATTACTTTTGCCACTATGTATACTTGTTTGATTAAATTATCAAGAACTATTTGATTATTTGAAAATTGTTATCATACATAATAATGTAGTAAAAAATTAGATTTCTCACGTTTCGTGATTTAGTGTAGGTCGCTTCTTCATAGAACAAGTAAATAGTCGAATTGAATTAGCACTACAAAATACACTGGACAACCAAAATAAGCCTAATCATGTCGCTTCAACACAGAATTTTGTCTGTATATTAGATTGTGTCGATTGTGGCACCTTTATTATAAAGTCATCTTATGAAACTTTGACTTGAACCAAGGAACATCTACACTACACAAAATAGACCTAATAATCGAATAGAAGTTTAGAAGCTCCAAATAAACCGTCAATAGTGATACATATTTTTCTTTAGTAATCAATAAATTAGTATGTAAAATATCAAAAGGTTTTTCCAACTATAAAGAAAGTCGAGTCGTTGAGGCTTTTCGTTTATTGCTAAACTCTACTGAGCTCAATAGAAAATAAAAAACTTGGACTATTTATTCAAACAGCTATATTTATTTGTATTCACACCTCATACCGTTACACAAACATACAAATTTAACCCTACTTCTTGACATTACAAGTACATTTTTCACACCCACTAACATACAAATACACAAGTATATCTTATATAGGATCACCTTGACCGAGTAACATGGAATTGAGTTGATCAGGTTTATTGTGATTGTACTACTTATTTTGCTTGGTTCTTTTGTACTATTTAAACTTGTGTTAGTCTAATTCGATTATTTATTTATTCTCTGAAGAAACGACTTACACTGAGCTATAAAGCATTTAAAATTCACTTTTACAAATATATCACAATATTACATTGATATCCAATTCAGTGATTTGAACTGGTCAAGTCAAACATTGGTATTGATATTCACTTAATATTATTTATTTTAATATATATATATTCAACAATCTTATCAAACATATTTGGGATTAAAATATCATCTGAATGGTCAATGATGAATAATTTGTATTTCTCAATATTCTAAGTAACTGCTTCAGATCATTAGGAAATTTCATGAAATAATGTTGATGATAACAGTTTGTAGTTCAAATGGATACCTTTAATGATTTTGTGTTACTCTATGCCGAATGATTTAGATTTTTGTTCTAAATGTTATTAGTAAGTAGTATATAAAGTAACAGTGAGTTTATGGATTAATTTTTTGAAATTAGGTTTGTCAACTTAGTGATTGTAACACAGAATCATTGTATTATGGTTAATATCTATTAGACAATAATTAGTGTATTTCCTCTACTCTTATACTAATATCGTAAATGTTATCTTTCAATTTTATTTTCTCAAGACAATTTTTCTATTTTTATGCGCATTTTCTTTTACTAAAAGGATATATTAACACCAGTGTCTAGTACTACCACTACTACTGTTGTATCATTATCCGTTTCCCAATCGACAATCTCAACCAATAACCATAATCATACACTTCATTCACAAATGTCTCGATCAGAATATAACACTAGAGAATATTTTCATTTTAATCAGAATGATGAAATCAATTCTAACGAACAAATAATTCATGAAAGAAAAAACAATTGGTTTACACGTGCTGTTTCTGCTCCGGATACACCTCGTTCTTGGAAAAAAGATGCTTATAGCGTAGATAATAAACGAAATATGATAACAACAACACCAGTGACATCAGGAACGACGACTACTACAACTATAAGAACACGGAAGATAATTGACAGTTCTGCAAAAAAACTTAATCCTACTCAAAGGACTGTGGAAGGATCTTTCATCAATCGAGTCGCTGCTCAAAATAGACCTAAGGATTTGGTAAGTTCTGAAACGAATATTTGATTTTACGTGTAGTGATTTAAGATTGTTGTGTATATAATTGATGTTTTCACTACTTATATAAATTAGGTACTAAAAATAATAGTAAAACTACATAAGAACTGGATTCCCGGCTGGCGATCTATAATCAAACGTGGCTCATTTACTCAAAATAAAGATCACTATTTATTAGCGATATTTTTGTTTTCAGAAGTGTCGAACTTAATTTGTAAGTGATAATAATGAGAGTCTAAACTTCAAAGTCTCTCTCATTCTTTTTCAATTCAATTAGTGAATTGTAAATCTAAAAATTAAACATAGAAAACATGCATCGATTTTATTTTATCATAGAAATATTCGATTATAGTCTTATTTATATAGTATTGTGTAACAGTCAAAAGGTTGACGAAGTCAGTGTTCACACACTAATAAATAATTAGTTACGCCTAATAAATATTTTCATAAAAGTGGAGGCAATATTACGACAAGTATTGGCAACAGCCATTCATATTCATTGTCGACAAAACCGGCTGTTAATCATTTATTGTTAAATTCTAATAGCTTACTTCGTTTTGCTTATGATGTTGTCTAGGAGGATAAACAGTGCTCTACAGTTAAACCACTCAACTCAAATAATACATCTTCATTCAGATCATCCTCCCAAGCTACTAATTTTCTACACTATTTTAAGGATAACCTTTTTTCACGAGAACATTTCTTATTCTTGTTTGGTTACTTCTGTCGAACATTGTTATTTAAGTATGATGAGGTGGTCTCACCATATCAATAATTATAATTGATTGAAAAACTCTGTGAAAACTAAAGTTTTATTGTATTCTGTATGTAAAGTCTGTATAAGGCATGATAAGAACTTCGGGAACAAGTGCTTGTTGTTTAATGTTGTCAATTTTCACATATTATACTTCGACTAACGTTGTAAAATCACTTGCACTCATATAGAAAGTGTAGCTTTAAGCTCACGACATAAATCTCTACCTGATCATTGAGTTCTAATTTCTCAGAGGGTTGTTTACTCTATTTCATATTAAAACAGTTTTATCAAACAATTTAAATAATGTTCGTATCGATTAGATCAATTGTAAAGTATTCAAAAATAGGATAACTTTTTTCTTTCATTGTCTCTCTTTTTTCATCTGTATTCAGGCTTTAGAACAATTCACACCACCAACACATACATATGAAGTTTGTGCTAATCGATTAAAAATGAATGAGTCGATTACTGGTGGAGATTGTCCGAACGCATTGCCATTATTTAACAGACCTAAAAATAAATCATCTCAACAACGATCTTACTCGGCTACGCAACTAATTCCTTCAAGGTATGAAATTATGTTGTTTTTTTATCAATTAAGAATATTTTCAAAAAAACGTTAATACTCAGATTCACTATTCATAAGTACATTGATTCAGCTTCAATTTATTCGGTTTTATCAAACAGAAAATACAAAATCACAGCCAATAACAAACGGGAATATTTGTCAAAATTGATAGGGGATGAGTAAAACATAGCTGTCAATATAACCATTTACACTCAATCTCAGAATGTATTCTACTAAAATTGATGGTTAAATCAAATCAGCAGAAAGTATTGGTTATTTTGTGTTTTGTTTTCGTTGGCGTTCAGTCTGTTAGATTCTTATAGAACCTCCAAAAAATCTGTTTCATCTACAGACAAATGCACTTAGCTCAATTTTAGTCAGTGACGTTGTTATCGATATAACTCATTTATGATTGACTCCTTGTACTGTTGAATCGAGTTTACACTTAAGTAATTTACGAATAATCAATGTTTAAACGAAATAGTATAGGACACTGTCCTATGGTTGACTAAATTAACCGATACTATACTAGTTTCAGTTAAAAATGAAGTGTAATCGAACCAGTGGTACCAGAGGTACATACTACAGAATCACTGCGATTTATCGTTGAACAGCACTAGATATATGAAATTTACACTTTTTTTGGAGCTTTATTTACACAGGTTTATATTTGATACAGACGATTGTGAATGTTCTTTCTTAAATTTCTAATTTATTGATCAAATTAGTTTTCCATTTGTTCTTTATATTTTATGTAATATTTTTTCAAGAATTGGTTACTTTTGTACACTTTGAATTCATCTTGATCAACAATAAATGTGAATAAGTAAGATATCTTGACTGATCTGAATCTTCTTTTTATTGATATGACCGAATGACTTGTTTTGATAATAAAGAATGTATTGATTAGCACAATAAGTCTGAACTGCATAAATATTAGAAAACACCATCTGGTCTGTGAGCGAAATTAGTTATTTCGGTAAAGTTCTGTGTATATTTTTAACTAACCTAAATTATATCGAGTGAATCTCGTCAAATGATTTATGCTGATTGGTCCAATATCATCATAAATTACCCAGTAGGATTATTCAGACCAAGTAGTAGCATCATTCAAATTTTACTTGAATGCATGTATTACATGTAGACAACTGACAGCTAAATAAATTACAAACCTTTACTGACTTATGATACTTTTCACTGTTGTTATTTCTAATTATCCAGAATTTTATTATTTTTATTTTTGAACAAATTAAAGTTTCTTTTAATATTTGGAATTAACTACCTCTAATTTGTTTTATTGAGTGAACAACTCAGTTTCCAACTTTTCTTGCTTAGAAACTTTACTTTTAATTCTCTTCTTGTATTCACACAGTTTCGTTCTTTTTCCACAGTACCTCCGTTGATTGTTTCCTTTTCATTAGATCTCTCTTATTCATTTTATTTTTCTACTACTGTATTTCATAATATGTAACACCACCTATTACTGAGCGGTAATAACCTTTTTTCCAGCCTAATTACGTTTAATTGCTTTAAATGTCATACAGTAAATGGATATCTTGCTACACTGACCATTGTTTCGTGTCTATATTTGGAAAGCAATGATTTTTTACATTGTTTATAATCCTATGATACTTATCATCTGAACTATATTGCAATCAATTATAATTGGAGGTTTTTCTAATTCACTAATGCATAATCATAACGATGCGTAAATATTGCAAGTTAATGTTATACAACAAAGAGATGTAAATGATCTGTGGTTTTTATTTTGATCTTTACCTACATTCTTGATTATTCAGTGTTTATTAATATAAATCATCATTGAACATCCCGACGCATCTATTTTAAATATTTGATTTACTCAAATTATGTACCTGATCAATAAAGAATATTGGAAAACTCGAGAATACTGTCCAACTAATCAGATTACTTGGCAGTCTTTTCGTTTTGTTTTAGAATTCTGCAGCATTGTTTCACATAGTATCAAGCTTATGAATTTCAGGTGTTGCTTTCAATGACCTTAATAGTCATAGCTGTCAGTCGTACTTTTTATTTAGTAAATAAACATATTGGGATTTCGCTATTGCTACCCAGTTTTCCGGGACATTCATTAGTTTAATTATTGGTTAATTTATATAATTTCATCATTTGCAGTCACGTACTTCGTATATATATGGTAAGGGTTAGTGAGTACAATTTTAATTTATTTCAAGTTTATTCGGTCAGTTTATAGTTGACTGATTCATTACTCTTGTTAATTTAATTAATTTGCTTTTCACTTGTGAAAATCGGTCTCTTTGAAGTAAAAGACGTTTGATGATGGTTTTCTACTTTCAGTCATCTTTTTCTCTAAAGGATTATTCAAGTTCGGTGACAATATTGCGTTTTCTAAACAGTAGATATTTATCTGTTCATAATTTATAGTTCCGTTGATTAATCAAAGTTTTCATTTTCTAATCAGTTTAAACGTACATAATAATATCTTATCTTTACAAACCATATCATTTGTCAGTTTAACTTTTCTAAGTTATTTCAAGTTTACAAGAAAGAAATAAAAAAGGCAAAAGGCTTTCTGTTTACATCTTAAACTTTTTTTTTCTAAAAAATATCATTGTTCATGAAATGTTTTTTGTAAGTAGATTATATAATTCTGGTGTGTGCTACTTATACGGACAGACAAGTATTATATATCTGGAACCGGAAGTAAGATTCTTATGGACAGAGGAGCGAAATGAAAAGAGGGAGAAAAACAGAAAGCAATCAAAATGTCAAGAGGAATGAAAAAAACAATGGAGTTTTTAAGAGACACTTTAAGGAAGATGAGTAAATGGTGTATTCACTGTGCTGTTCTCATATTTTAAAAATACAGTGTATGATTTTTCATAATACAGTAAATTGGTCTGCTCCAACCACGTCTTCGTTCATTACATAGCCATTTGGAATACGAATACTTTCAAAGGTGAATTCGTTGATGTATTGATGCCAGTTGAATAGTTGTCACTGAAACTTGCGGTGTATCGAAATACTATTGTTCCTTCATCTGTTCACCACTTCCATTTTCACATATTTACGAATAACGTGAAAAATTATCAAATTAAAGAAAAATTGATTAAGTTTCAATACTTGAACTGATTAGACTTTTAATTACCAAATGATACAGTCACTTTCCCATTATATTGCATCAAATAATGCCTGTAAATATATCTCAAGATTTCAATTTTTCTTATCCTATATTATCCAAATATCTTGTAGAAATAAAGTCAAACTTCAGGAACGACGTCATGTTCGATCTCGTGCCAGTTGGTTTCCTGTTAGGTATATTCTGATACTGATTGTTGGAATACGTGTTTGTGTGTTCATGCAGTAACCGCACATACATACATTAATATACCAATTTAACTAACCTTATTTTATTGTTATTATCTGTGGATTGGTTCACTATATTTTGGTTTATTTATAATTGATTTTACTACTAATAATAATAATGGGGAGTGATTTGTCAGTTGTGTATCTATCAGTTTATAATTTATCTTTTTTAACTCGTAACCATCAAAATACTAAAATAATTCTATTTTGTAGTTCGAGAATACCATTAGATGTTTTTATCTTTGTGCTTCTGAATTATTATGTTGTTTTTTCCTTAATTATTCAATACACATTATAGATTTAGAATATGACATGACATCAGTCCATAGAGTCATTGATAGTTAGGGTGATTAGTGTTGGTTCGTTTGCACGATTATCGTAACCAATGGTTGGAAATGTTAGGTGATATGGTCCATGATAGATTGCATTGCGCACACACATTCACTCTGTCTTGCTTTAAATCTTGAGTTTTAAAACTATTCTATTCTTTTTATCCCATGAATTTCTTTCCAAATTGTCTGTATCTAGTCCTTCTTATTACTGGTGCTACTCTTCCTGTTTTTGCTGATCTAGGACTTATGTCGAAATAATAAAAGACAATTCGCAAAAAGGACGTTTGTCACTAAACACATCAATTGGTCACAAGACTTTGCGGTCACGCTATCAGACCGTTTAGATCAAACAACCCAATTTCCTTATCAGATTCAGGAAAAGTATCCTCTAGGCAATCGAGAAGTGAACCGCATACACACATACCAAAAAGCGTTCAAGTTCATCTTGTCCTCCACTCCATCTTTGGATCCTGGTTTCAGACTCTTGTGGGACCATTTATGCATGTTATTGAGGCGTTCAAAACTAGGGCTAACTATCTACGCAATATTCTTCGACTTTTTCATCTGATGTCAGTTCATAAAGAAATCCACTTTGAAACTTAACATAAATTCCACAAATCAACTCAGCTACCTGAATACAATTTTAGAATGAATAAAAGATTTTTGATAGTTAACAATTTTTAGCATATGTGTATTAGTGTTATAACTGTGAACGGCAGCAGATTTGAGGGTAGCGAATTTATCGATCGGACCAAAGACGCGCAGACACGTAGAACGACCTAGGGTTCTGATTGGTCCCGCTTCCCTATCTAGCCCAGTAGTTGAGTCCAGAACGAAAGTCACAGCCTCGGATGTATGAATCATTATATTTCAAACATACTCTGTTTATATACCAATCAAACAAACCACATCATACCATAAAATAGAAAATAACATTGTACAATATTGGCCAGTAGGAAAATGACACGTGGAATAAGTACTGACCAATAAGAAAATAATACCATGTCCAAGTCCAAGAATAGCATTAGGCTTAATAGGATAATTTCTGGGATATTTTCCTGAATATCCCAACAATTAGCTCCATTCAAACTGTACTATTGCAAACGTAAATATGATTTTGTTACAGAATAGTTGTTCATCTATAACTAATTATTTTATTGAAGTATTCACTCATACTTATGTATCAAATAATGACTTAAAAAAACGAGCGATATGTTAGTTTGTCTACTTTTTCCGTAACAATAGTGATAGAGGGAAACTGTTGATTTGTTATAACAATAAACGTTTGTTTGATAAATAAGAATCTTTATGATAACTCACATTTTTCTGTTGTTTGATTAAATTAAATCAACTGTGATTTTATCATTTGTCGAAAGTGACACTGAGTTAATAATGAACGATATCCCATTTCTTTATTCTTATCATTCGTATACTACTATACTTCTAACCAATCTACCTTCATTTCTATTTTCAGTGATGTGTCAATAAATGGAATTCATTAATTAACCATTGTCACAATGTTTTAATTTTTATTGTGATTTTTTCTGTTTCCATCTCTAATAAGCTCAGTTTTTTTTAATTAGTTGTTTCAGTTATTTATACTGAAAAATTAACAAATAAAGAGAGGTTAATATCTTTCAAACTTTCCTTATTGCGTTTCCTTTCCCTTTTTTTCACTTCGAAAACTTTTCTGTTCATTTTTCACCTGTTTTTTTTTCATTTTTATTATAAAGATTGAATCAAATGTATCACATAGTCTCCTGTCTTTTATCTAAATGTAAATATTTTCCACATTTTCCCCCCTAAATTACAGTTCTCCGAAACAACACAATCCTCCTCCTTCTACAATTGTTGATGATTCTGCCAATCTATATTCAACAAATAGTTTACATCATTTTCTTGATGATACAAATACAATTCATGCTTTGAATTACAATTATGGTGATCGTTGTCAACAGCGTAATCAGTCGAAGGATTTACGTGCTTCTGTAGGTTTTGTGTTACTTCTATTATTATTATTATTATTATTATTATTATTATTATTATTATTATTATTATTATTACTACTACTATTATTATTATTATTATTATTATTATTATCATCATAGATTAGTGAGTTTTGATTAATTATGTCCGCTATCTGTTTTGTTAAATGATGAGCTGAATACTGTTAGTGATTATCAAATTGATTTATTTGGATGATTATGTGATAACTACTGATCACATGGCCGACATGTCATTGAATATACTGGCAGTCTAAACATTTTGAACAGTTCATTGTAGAATAATTAGTGTTTTAATCTATTTGTGATGTATAGAGCTGTAAAACGGAATAAATGTGATTAAATATTACGTACGGCTATACAATACAAATATGAAATCTTCGACAGTTAAATCAATTATTTCTAACCATTTTTCATGTTCTGTTTCGGTTCAAGGTACAAGGTATTTCATAAGTAGCTGTCTTAGTAAGCATGAGATTAAACTAAGCACGTGAATACCTGTATTTGGCTATTGTATTTTTTTTATTTTTAATATTGCACTCTAGTTTTTACCGTTTAGTTTCAGACAATGAAATATTGAAAATTAGCATACATCGTATATGTGTTTTTTTATATATTCGACTACTAAATAACGACGATATTTGAGAAAAGGTGTGTATACAATGTCGCTAGATCAAACTGGATGGTTATATATACGGTTTCTCACTAGAACTTAACAAAATTATATATTCATATATGTAACACTTATTTTGTATATAGTGGGAAAGGGATTTTTTCAGCGTTTCTAGTTCCTCTCTTGTTTTTTTTTCTTTTTTATTATTCTTCACTAACTTAGGTGGATATAACTTCAAAGGCTTTATTGATGTCATCAATATCATCATCAAATTATCATGGCAAGTCTTTTTTTTATTTTGAGCATTTAAATAAATAATAAGCATTGATTTGTTGTGTAGGTGTATGCAAACAAATAGTTGTTGCGCATGCTTTTTTAATTGGTATATTAAATCCAAACACAAACTCCATCTTAAAATCGATTAGTCAAACACCTAAATTATACATTATTAAATTCTGCAAAACTTACTATACATAGGGTTGTGGAAATTAATGAGTCTCATTGAAGTCATGAAACGACCTAACTTAGATCACCCTTGAAAACCTGGCTACACGGAACGGCCGTTTCATCTCAGTATGGAATTACTTGGCAATGGGCATCCACGATTCCTCACAAACATCGAATCCAATATCTCCCGTTTGGTGCGCGAACACCATACCGCTAGACCATTGACCCGGAATCCGACGATGTTAATATTTAACTTCAATCAATCCAAGATATTGCGCAAACATTCATAGTTCTGGCAATTTTTACTTACTTATGCCTGTTACCCTCGTGGAGTAGCACAAGCCACCCATCAGCATTCTCCATCCAATAACAGTATCACTTTTCTTTTAGATCTGACGTCTACTGTGTTTTGTTTAACCGTTTTCCAACAGACCTGCCTAACTTGATAGACACATGTATTCCAGCCAACATGGCTCGATTGAGTTATCACGATATGCAATCCTGACAACCACATCAAGAAAGCAACTGCGATTGGTTATATGTATAATGTTGTATATTATTACAATATACAGTATACTAATATTTATTGTTTAGCTATGCTACACACATACACATTTTATAGATAACTTCCTTAAAAAGGTAGTTCAGTTGTCCCTGATCTGAATTAGGTTATTTGTTATGCGTATTAATTTTTGTTTGTAACAAATTTCTTTTCAATAACTCAAATCGACACACATTTTAATCCGGTAAATGGACACATTTGAATGCATACTACATTCGTCGTTTCATTATCATGATAATTCTATTTTGTCCCTTCGTTCTTGATAAATAGCGTTGATTATTTGATGTTTCGACTTTGGTTCTCAATTGTTATTGTAGATACTAGGTCACTTCATTAATCAATGTGATATTACAGTTAAATCAACTATTTTTGTGCATTTTTCGAGTCTTTGACAGACGAATTTATGCAATAAAAATTAAACTAGGACTGTATTTTTTGCTCTTGTTTATATATAACAAAATATTTTTCAGTCTTCATATTGCACAAATGTATGTAGTCTGATGGTATCAATGTGGATTGAACGTGACACTCCTGCTTTTCCTACTTAGGATCTTACTGTCAGTTAGTATCATCAGGGTTCACACATGTTCGTGACTCAAACCAGAGTATCTCATTAATAAATATAATTGTCTTCTTTCTCTGATAGTATACCCCATAACTTCATTCCCTGCTTGTTTTTCTTCGTGTATTTCTTCATCTTACTTATTACGAACAATAAGTAGTTAGATTTATGTTCAATCATTTCTGCACTTGTAGAGCGTCCTTTGTTTCAAAAAGTCTTTCCCATTGTCCCACTATTGCACTGTGTTAGTCCATTTTCCCACATATAATTTCTTTGTATTTCGATTCTCGGTCAATTTTTTTATGCAGAAAACTCTTAGTTAATCTCAAATATTTACATAAATTTTTATTACGGTCTGATTTGGTCAACTAACCATGTCATTCAAGAAAGGAGCACTGAGTGATCTGTCTTGAAATCTTAATTATTTCTTCAATTACTGATGATTACATATGATTTAGCTATGTATTTTCTCCTAATTCACTGAATGTTTCCTACTTTTACTTTTTATTCACTTAAATCAAATACACATTTTCATTCTAGTGATGAAACGTTTTTTAGCACTTTAACGGACAACTTAAAATATGTAGACTCGTTATATTCGTTTCAGTTTTTGTGACGGTATTATTTATTTGAGTAATTTTCAATTATTCACTTTTGGAACATTCACTCGTAACCTAGTCGTTGCATAATGACAAAGTATTTCAATAGAGTAAGGAATTTTCTTCCACGATTGTCCAATATTGCAACAAATTTCATATATTGAAATTATAATTATTCGAAAATATTTTTTCATAGAATTTTTTTAAATATTCAATATCTACTAACTGCTTACAATCACCAAGATTTTCTATCAGTTTGGTTGCTACAACTATTTTTCCGTCTTTCATTTTTTCTATAGTAAGGCAATTTTAGTGTTTATGTTTGAGTTTTCTGGTTTTTAGCATCACAGACCTTTTACTATGAAACATGTCTACATCCAGTTAACATCCATAACTATTGAGTTCAAATAAATTTGAAACATGGATTAATTTTAATATTTGTACCATTAAAAAATAGAAGCATTTATCCACGGAAGACAATGGAAGATGACTACGCAAATATCGATTTAATTTGGAAATCAACACCATTATATCCCGACTCACTGGTCTACAGCTTAAGTGTTTGCATGCTAGACCGCGTTCCAGATCGTGTATACCCTCTTCTGGGAAGTCCCATACTAGGACGAAACGGTCGTCCAGTGCTTCCAGGCTTTCACTGATCGTTTAACATTGATCGGTTCACGATTTCAATAAAAAATTTGATGCCCCAAATATTTTAATCAGATCAACTTTGCATATATATATATATATATATATATATATATATATATATATATATATTTACCGTTTGTAAGTTGAACTTCAAATAAATGTTAAACTATTCATTATTACTGCATTTTTGCCGTTCAGATTCAAAGAATCGTTTGCCTGCTGTCAAAAAATATTCTTCACAATACCTTACCACTATGCAAGAGACAAACTGTCGAATGAACAGTGAATCTGTGCCCAAGAGCTCAACACATACTTCAAACTCAACTTCGGTAAATCACAATGGGTTTTTTTCACAATCATGGGAATATAAGCAATAATAATCATGCTCATACCAACTAATTTTTTGTAGCCAGTGATTATAAAAATTTTACTAACTTCATCTATTTTTATTTTTAATTAACAGTATAAGTTTAGATAAACTCAAGACTACAAATGCTTCATGTCAACTATTTCTTACTATTCTTTGCTCTGTTTGATTTTTCGCTTTATACCATGTTGATTTGCCATATTTCATGATGACTTAGACTAATATATTTTTTCCGGTTTTAACATTATTTGCAACTGTTTGGACCATATGATGTAAGCTGACAAACATGAAAATCACCGTAATTAGCATTTGCGTGTTGATCAGTATGAAAAACTAATTGTTGGTCTGTCATCTCACAGTCGAATGTAGGTGTCCATTCATCCCGCGTTTTATTTATCAAGCTGAAAGTGATCAATATGATTTGATAATATTCTAAACTAGAGTTTTTTCATGTTTACTCAAATATGTTCACTATTCGAATCCCCTCTGTTTGAAACTAGTAAAAGCGATTAAAAGGTAACTTCCCTCATTCCATCACTGAAGAAGTATATAAAATCACAGAGCACTGGACAGCTGTTTTGTTTTATACTACATTTCAATTGTGTATCTTTTCAAATACATACATAGTCGAATATCAGGTCTTTTGGTCTCTTCAGTAGTGCAAATTAGGCATTATGTTGTAATTTTTTTATTCGGTTTTCCGAATTCAATTTACTTAGTTCTTAGTTTGCCAACTCATTCTCTGTATGAAATTTGTTGACCTTTTTTACTTGAAATAGATTAATTATCTTGATCTATGATTTTAATTAAGGAAAATGTATAGACCACGTGAATTGGATTTCAAGTAATTATGTTCTTCTTTGTTTTTCGTTTCTTGCTCAATTCCTAAAAGTAATCTGTAGAGGATAAATTTCAGCATTCAATTAGTCTAAGTAAGTACAGTCTTTATTATAGTTGAAGGTGAACTAATGCCGATTAAATAGTCAATCTATCATAATCTACATGGAACCTGGCATATGTATGCATCATCCTAAATTGACATATCTTATTGGCAGGACAATATGAATAGGAAACAAACAGAAATAGTAATATATAAGAAACGATAATGGGAAAGGCTAAACATATGATTCGAAAAAGACAATGAAAAGGTACTTATATAGAAATACGTCCGTGCACATGAGTACACAGTCAAATATTACCTAGTATTATATTTTATGTATTTTATGTAGGTATTCAGTCGGCTTTAATCCCATATACTAGAAAAGGTTTCTCACAGTTCTAGTGCAAAAGAACATATCGATTGTTGGAAATTCATCCAGATAACTGGTCCCAAATAAGACGATATACACACCATGGATTTCACTGCGAGCTACGTATCACATATACCGAAATTTAATATGTTTTCTTTGTTACCTTCTTTGAGAAAATTTTGATAGCACTATTGATTTTTTATCTTATGACTTTTTCAATTTTAGTCTCAATTTCAAGCAGATGATTTAAATTCATGTAGATCAGCTGTCGAATCACTTCATGCTCTTCGTGTAGCCTTAGATTTGGCTATTAGTCGATTAACTAAATTATCTTGTTATAATCATAAAAGTGAAGAACATACAAATCTATGTCAAATTGTTACTGAACAACTTGAATGGAGATTTTCACGTTTACGTGCTATGCTTGGTCTATCACCAGTTTGTGTTGAAGCACCAGTGGCTCGTGTATTAATTGCAGATATTGTAGAACGCTTAATTCCAGAGTTAAAGTCAGCTTCTTCAATGCTAGACAATACAGATGCTTTAAACAACAGTACTAACGATGACAATGTAGATATTGATAATCCAGATAGTCAAGTAAACAGTGAAAATAAATCACAATTCGAAAAAGCAATGAATTTGTCCGATACCTCTGTATATAAGATGACCGAAATGAATGACAGTTCAACTATCATCAATCATAAAACTGTGAATATTATTAATCGCGATGGTTATATTGACAATACTAATAATAATAAAACGAGGGATGGGAAAATGCGAAACGTAACTCATTATGAAGAACATGATGATGACAATCGTGATGTTCATGAAACATTTATGCAAGAAAATAAGACTCTCGAAACTACATAAAAAAAAGTTACCATACTTTCGGTCTTTCTACATTTGTTTTTTGTTAATTTTGTATTTATTGTTTTTATTCGACGTTTTTTAACGAAATATAACAGCTCTATTTATGGTATGTACATACTACTTATTTTTCATTTTAGTATTGAATTCAATAAACTTTTGATCATTTGAATTTTTTCTAATTATCAAATATTGAACAGATGGAAACAAACACTTTTGAAAATATAATATAACGGATACTACATATATGCATTTAGCGCCTTTTTTCAGAATCTTACTCAGCGTAATTTGTGACGAGTGAACATAATCTGTTTTAGTGTGTAAGTATAGTCTTACCTATAATATCGCCTTTCACTGGATAACTGTTGATTGGTCATACTATTAATAATAATAATAATAAAATCCACAATCGTTTTTACCTAACTATATATGCGCACAATGTTACGCTTACTATATTCTCAAATTGTCGTCAAAAAAGGAGCTTTTATTTTTCTTCCTGTAATAATACTCAGTATGTTTCTTCTTAGTTGTTTTTTGGATGCATTTTATTGTGAATTAAAAAAAACAAACTATGTACACAATTAACAAATAATCTTTATCATTGCATGTTTATTAAATTATATACACCAATATTTTGCCAAATTACATCCGTTGTTTTAATCAACTAGACAAAATATTGAATAAACCCCGCCATTATCTGTTATATATATCTAGTTCTGAATCATTATTTTTATTTATTATCTCTTTTTAAAGAGTCTTCTTTACCTAAACTTTCAACTAAACTTAATACTGTTGTTGTTTATGTATATATTTAGTGATTTTTTTTCTGCTGAACACTATATCGTTCATTTTTTTTATTACTTTGGTTTTCTATTTATGTCTGTGTATATGTGTAAGTTTACAACTTGGATTTGCATATGCATATTGAAACCTTCCATTGCTTACTTTATCCATTCTTCTTTGCTTTTTGATTGAATTGATTAATATTAATAATACTTAAACAATTATATTAGCTATTTATTCATTGGAATTATTGGGAATTTATTTCTCAATTATGATTGATTTGTTTATCATTTATCTAAAAACATTTGTAGAGGGAAAAAAATTACTAATGTATGCACATACATTAGTAGTTTTATAATTATATTTTAAAAAAAGTAAACATATTATAATAGGCGATGTAATGAAAATCATAGTGATAATAATAAATATATACAGAAGCAATTTCTTCTCTTCGAATACTACTGACTGTATAATCTTCGCTAACGTTCTAGATTTCGTCTAACACACTATTATAATTATTTAGATGAACATGTTTGGAAAAAAAAAGATTGTCAGACAAATACATTTAGTTATTTATCTATTTATTTACCTGACTCATTTTATTACCACAATTGAAAGCATGAGTTGATCTAACCTTGAAGTACTGGATGGCAGTACGATTCCGCACTCAAGACTCGAACATAAAATTTGGTACACCGGAGATTGTATTCGAAGCGATATACATTGTTGAGTTCAATTAAATGTTAAAATATCTCAGTAACCGAGTACACGCTTCATTTACTGAATTTTAGTTGTACATGTATTAATTCAAATAGTTAGAATCAGAGATTCAGTTATTCAATGTTTAGCATTTAGGCTATTAAAAGACTCCCAGTTTCTCTTATGAAATTATGATTTTATAGTATGGCATCGAGTCGCGGTTGATTATGATCACCACTATAGGAAGACTACGTGCCAGTTACCAGATCAGGCAATTGAAGGTTGTAGTAAGATGTGTTTGTTGGCGATCTCGTGGTATCGAAAGGATACCGAGATCGTGCCAAAGTTTACAAGCGGTAGTACTGAGCATACACGAGTTCGTGCAAAGTCACAGACAACGGAAGAATGTGTGTTTTTAGTACACTTAAACAAACAGACACAGTAAAACAATCACTGGGACGATTGGTTATAATAATGATTGTTCCCATTATACCAATCGCGTTCTCTTCAAAAAAGTAGGTCACTACAATTTCAACACCAGTTATTTAGTTGAAGATTAAATGGTCTAGTTACAAAAGTTCTTGAATTTCAAACACCGATTCTGATTTGAGCTTGGTCAATTTAATTTTAAAGCAAAATGAATGAATGAGTTACACTAACTTTAAATCATTTGGCTAGTCAACCTGTTCAAATAATCTTTATTGACTTGAAATGTATTGAATTTATTGTGTTTTTGTTCTGAGGAATTAGGTAGTATGGTTTATGTTATGGCTTGTGGCCTGTTAATATATCATGAAAAAATATCGCCATTTAGAGACACCGACTTATACAACCAGACCATACTTGTATGAGCAGCCTAAAGTTATTTGAGATAGTAGTTTCTCACCTAAGCCAACCGGTTCAGTCCAAAACGCAAATATCATCCTCCGTTATATGAATCATATATATCAGACCCACTAGGTTTATGAACAAACAAACCAGGCTTCATCGTAACATAAAATAAAAAATAACAGTCTTATAAGATCAAGCCAAAAAGTGGATGTGAGAGACAATTACTAATAAATTGGAAATATCTTAAGAATAGTAAATCGTATAGTAATAGTCAATAGGTTAAATCAAAACTTATAATGAAGGGAATATTAATATACACATAATATAGTTAACTCATGGTTATACAATAAGAATATATATAATAATAGTCTACAAATAGATCCTAGAGGTTACTATCCACTTATTCTTTGCCCGGACATAACAGTTTAGTTTTCACAATGTTCACTACATAAATTTAAGTAAGATGTATGAATTTATATTATCGAAATGTTTGCAATGACATAAGTAAATGTAGCATATCAATAAAAAGACAAATTTAAGTAAGATAAATAATTTTCAAAAAATATAAAATTATGCTAATCCAACTACATATAAATTGACTGATTAGTAGAAGAGTAAACTGAACAGATTTAAAAAAAGTTAAAAAATCAATTGATTGCATCATCACTTGTTTACTTGAACTTGTTGAAATACAAAGTAGTGTTACATTTAAGTCAGAAAAGTATTAAGTTCATGGAGCTTGTTTTCCTCTACTCTTCGTCTGATAACATATATGTTGTAGGGTCCAAAACAGCAGATTCTATTACTTCTTCTATATTGGTTTGGTTCAAAGCGATAGTCAACTCTACATATTCCCCTTGTGTTTCTTTAACTCTGGTTTATCTGAGATAATTGCTTTTGTTTGTATACATGTTAGATAACTCTTATTTGTACTCACCCCGTTTTACCTGTTTCCTACTTAATACATTCCATATATTACATACTCCCTGATCGAACACTTGATATAGTTATTTTTCTGATGTTTGCTTGATGAAAGTTCGAAATGATAATCAATAGTGATTGGTCTTATTAAATGGATGAAAGTAGCTCATTCTGATATATGGACACTAAATGACTAATTTTTTTCGAATCCATGATTCATGTTACCCAAGTGATCTTCACCATATCTGGTATTGATTGATTCCGGGCTACGATCCTTTAACGGATTAATTAAGCCACTTTAGTCATGTGAGATTTTGAACAGAATTGATTCATCTAATCAGTCAGTTGTTTCATTAAATGGAAAACATTGACAGTTTACTTTTAAGTTCATTAGCAATCTATCTATCGAAAACTCGTTAAACGTATTGCTCACTATCGCATATCGGTGATAAACACGTATAAAATTACAATAATACTTTGTGAGTGCGATGAAACAAGTTTGTAGATTTATTCAAGGATTCTTTGATAAAATGAAACTCGCTTTTATGCTAAAGGGTTAACTAAACACGAATATGAACTATTTACTAGCAGTTGAGGTTGAACTTCTTCAAAAGTGAATAAAATCGAATGAAAGTAAACAGTATTAATCACTTCTTTTACTATAGAGGATTAAACCTTGTTGGCTTGAATGCCAATAATATGATGAAAAGAAATGTCTTCCACTATAAAGCCCTACTACATTGCAAGTGACTCATCCCAACACAAAATTAGTGTCGTATGATCGTTTCGAATTCTACTCTGTTTTGTACCGGGGCTAAATACTTAAAGAATATAAGCATTTATTTGTCGGAATTTTCGCTTCTTAAACGAATTTTAATTAAACCAGTGTAAACGTTTGATTTATGTTTATTCGACTGATTATGATTTGTTTTATTAATGTCCCATAGACAATGCAATGGTCCAAGGCCTTGATATTTACAAAAAGTATTGTTCAATGTTTAGTTTTTCCAACTATTATACTACTATCATCTCGACTCTTTTGCTATTCCTTTAATTAGTTTGATTCCATTGTGCTGATGAAATACGGCAAGTTGGTCTAACTCATGTTTATACCAGACTCTATGTTGATTATGACTGATTTGGTATTAGTTTGATTTACAATTTCGTCATATAAATGCAGGCAATGTCGATGCATCAGTTCAGCAGGTTTACCTTCCAATAGAAACTGATCAACTTAGAACTGAATATGATAAGACTAATGAGTAGTTGACTTTAAATTATAACCATAAAAGGTAAAAACTATAAGAAATTGGAACAAATCCATTCTACACTTTTAACCACTATGATAAAAATAACAGTGTTCTCATTGCGTGTGTTGACATATATATCTAACCAAAAATAAGAAAATATATTTCACCATCACTATGATATGTAGGACAATATATTTCAAGTGACCTAATCATACACACGCACATTTGTCATAGTTGTATATGAAAGAGGCATAACACAAGGTTAGAGTGACAACGAAAATCAATCGTCCATACTCGTACTAGAATCTAATCATGAAGATTTAAATTAACGATAAGAAGATATGACAAATTCTAGAACATACATCAGTTATATATTAGCTAGACATGATGGCAATCTAACTATCTAAGTATTTGAGGATGTCATTTTGAAGGTAGTTTGTGTGACAAATCGATATCAACCATAAAAATATTGAAAAACCAGTGAGCACGAGTTGTTTCGTACTAGTTTAGGATTCCTCAGTAATGAAAGACTCGAACCTGCTACTAGCCGGACGCTTTATATTGCCACAGTTGAAAAAGACTTCCTGCTTTACCACAAACCATAATTTCATATAAACCATGGAAACATATGCCATTGTTAATAACGGTAGACGTGTGTAAATGGCTGTAAAAACAAATAAATGTCTATGGTTCAATGACAGCGATGACAAATATTGACCATCCACTATTTTATGTCAGTAGATAATCTGAAAGCTTAACGCTTTTCATATTGAGACAACCTACACACTGAGCACCGAGGTCGAAAGACATATTAAGTGCCATCGACAAGTAACTGCAGTCTAATGAATATCATAAGTTATTATCTATCTATATATACCATAAAGCTCCGCCTGGTTGAGCTGCTAGAGATGATGCAACTCAGTGAATTGATTAGTTATCATAAATGGTTCAGTTTAGAAACCTGGAACAATCCTGTTGTAGTTTTCTTTGACATGCTTTATATAAAAAGAAACTTGTTTAGTTGAAAGAAGTCCTTGATTGTGTGTTTAACTAAATTACATCTCTTGTTGTATACTATTTTTCTCACCTATGTCTTTGACTGTACTCCTTCATTGTTCTTCACTTCTTCACAATGTTATTTCCATTCGTGTGGCTCACGCTCTATTTGTTGACCAGTTGTACTAAAAATTATGTTTATTAAATATAAAAATTTTAAAAATGTATAAGATTTCAGATTGTTGTTTCGACCTATCTGTTTCGTAAAATACTGCACATACATTAGTGTTTTAAGTTTTTAATAAATAATTTTATAGTTATATTAAGAATTTAAAGGCGAATAACATTTGATACTTAAGTATATTCATTATAATAACTACTTTATTGTTCTTTAAAAGAGGAAAATTCTGCTTTACATACATGCTAAATAAAATGAATCTAATCAAATAAACTATCAGTTAAAACACAGAGGGATAAACAAACAAACAAACAAAAATAACAGAAAAGAATGAGGTGTTTAGAGGAAAGTCACCTCAGAACAGTAGTTACCAACCTGACTATAAGATATAAAAGCCAATTGGAATTAAATGAAATTTATCAGTAGAAAGAGTATTATGTAGTAAAAAAACAACCATCTTCTTCCATATTGTATTAACCTATATATATACGATAGGTTGATTAATTGCCTATTGGATGCTATGAGAAATTGATAGCTTTGCCACAGAATGCAGAGAGACAAGATTCACGCAGAGCTTCAGACACCGTCTAATTGAAAAATAAAAACAGCGAAAGCATTATTTGACGGTATATTATAACATCAGAAGTAAAATTGAGAATAATAATTAAAATATTATTGTTACCACTTGTTATGATTTTAGAACATTTGGATCAAAGAAGTATGCATAAATTAAAAAAGTTTGAGCAAAATAAGCAAAGATGGATAGTGGCTAGCAGTGGAACCCAGGATGCACGTTTCGACTTATTTGGGACTCGTCGGCTGCATGTACCCGCATCCCAGAGTTCATGTTCACTACGGGACTCGAAGCCAGTACCGTTCGCTTCAAATGCCATCGCGTTATCCACAACAACACCAATTGAATATAGTTTGAGACAAACAGTCAGTCAGCTACAACGTAGGACCAGGCACATATATGCATCGGTCCAAGTTGCTATATCTCACTAACACAACAAGATGGACACCGGATTCATAAAAGTAGTTAATTCAGTTGTGGTAATATATAAAAGAAAGATTGCAATAAAGATATAGTACAGGAGGAAAGGATTAGTTCATAGAAAGAAAGATATGAAGCGATTTTAATCTCGTAGTTTAAGGGGAGACAGAGAGTGTATGCACCGACGCCATTGTGATCGATTCTGAGCCATGTCACCAAGAGACAAACATTTATTTTTAATAATTTGTGTGTTCTTGTTTACTAAACGTATCAAATGAAACAGCGATTAGAACTTTATGATCAAATTTATGCACCATCAAAACCATTTATTCAATCTCATTTTCTAAAGTGGAGTCATAATAACAGTTATTCTTTGTCCCACTCAGATTGAATAGGAGTGGATGCTAATGTCATGATTACATCTTTTTTATTTTTTTATTTTTACTAGTGCTAATATTAGTTCTGATTTTAATTTGGCATTTTTTTGTGTATTTAAGGTAGTTACCAACTATTCAATCATTTTCTCATATATACGACAAAACACATTCTTCACCATTATATATACAAAAACAAGTCTTAATAAATTAATGATTATACTAAAAGCGGGTGGACAATCAAAACCATCATCGCCATTATCATTTGTTAATTATTAAACCTGTACTTTAATTATAATAACTGTAACTCAAATAAATAATTTCGTCAAAAAAAAAAAATTTTCTTCGGTGAATTCTCTTTTTCTTAATCAATGACATTAGGAATTATTTTAATTATCTGAAATGAATATTCTTATTTCTAAGTTTCTGACAATGGTGTTGGATGGTACCAACTTGATTTGGGGATGTGAGATTTTTTTAGAGATGTTAAGATGCCACATATGATTTTCTAAAAACTGATCTCAGGGAAATTTAGATTTTGCAGCCGGGCTTCTTGAAATGTCAAAAATTAGTGCTAGGAGAACCTTGGTGACAAAGCAGTAGTATGTATGAACTCATTAACTCAAAGTATTGCCAGAAAAGTTACAATATCTGCTGTATACTCAAGACTACTGACTATTTTCTTACAGGTTCCTAAAATATTCTTTAAATGACCTTTTGTTGACCTTGCTTTGTATTTACTGTCAAGGTGGAATCAGTCCCAAAGCCGTATTGTAAAATTAAAGTACGCATGAGAAACCGCACGTTATTTTAAGGTATTAAGTAAAAACAAATCCACTACTCATTAATGCATAGAATACTGTTACTTTCTGCTTGTTAAACTAAAGCGGCCATGCAACAAAAAGATTGAGGAAAAGTGGTACAGCAGTAGAAAGACACGGCCAAGTATTTTGATATAAAACTGAAAGTCAAACGAACGGGAATAAACATATTGAGAACTAAACCCTGCTAAACTAGTGAGAATATTAAGGTAGAAGACAGCTCACATACTACTTATACTAATGCTAGTGAGTGGATATGAATGTAAAGGTTAAAGATTAATCACCAATTCTCCTGATTTTTGTAATGTAGTTCTTCTTAGTTCTGAGTTGCTGACTAGGTTTAAATCCAATTTCTCAGCATGAAAATATTAAAGTTATTAAGTTTCATTCCAAGCGATCGTGACAAAATTCCGTGAATAAGAATATATCAATACATATCAACTTTTAAAAAGACCATATATACATGAAAAATATTTCTCTCGAACGAAGACATACTACTACTTGTAAACCTCTATGGATAATTAGTAGTGAGAAGTAAAACTAATTTGAATATGAAAAGGGGCTGTACACTTTGAAACATGACTAACCGGATGGGCATGAGAGACACGTGCAACATCTTCAGCTGAAGCGCCATACTCCATAGCTAATGCTGCTTCGTTGATCAGTTCACCAGCAGATGGACCAAGTAAGTGTACTCCGAGAAGTCTGTCTGTGTCTTTGTGGGCTAAAGCCTTGAAAAGTCCTTCAGTTTCATCATTAGTTTTAGCTCGTGAATTTGCAGACATTGGAAATTTGCCTACTCTATATGACAGGAAAAAAATATAAAAATTAAAGAGTACCGCGTAAACGAATGAAGTATAAAGTGTTGCATATATATATATATATATATATATATATATATATATATATATATACTGTTTTAGCGATCTGATTGTTCGAACCACTTATTGTCCTCAAACATGGCATCAATTGCATCATAGCACCAATAATTTTCGGGCGCCTAAGACTCGTGAAATGCAAACACGAGAATATCAAGCTGGCTTCAGACCTGGTCGTGGCTGCATCGACCACATATTCGCCACTCGTCAGGATTTAGAACACAGGCATGCTTATCGATGTCCGACAATGGTCGTCTTCCTTGACTAAAAAGCAGCATTTGACTCCGTAGACTGCGTGATTCTGTGGCAGTGTCTGTCATTTAAAGGCGTACTTCAGAAGTACACACACCTTGTGAAGGCTCTTTACTCGAACACTACTAGTCGAGTCAGAGCTTATGGCGAACTGTCATTTGCTTTTGCAACCTCAAGTGGTGTCAGTCAGGGCTATTCACTATCTCGATTTTCGTTTAACTTCATCATAGACATACTGATGGAAATAGCATTCTCGTCGACTGAATTCTCGGGTATTGATCTCCTTCCAGGAGGTTCACTTATCGACTTAGAATACACAGATGACATAGTCCTGTTTGGTGAAGACGCTGATTAAATACAGAGTCTTTTGGTAGCACTAAGCAACAATGCCAGAATGTTCGGAATGCGCTTCTCTCCCTCTTAATGCAAGTTGTTCCTTCAGGACTGATCTGTGTCAACACCTGAACTAAGGATAGGGAGCGAAGTAGTGGAACGCTTTGACAATTTCACTTATCTTGGAAGTCTTATCAGCCCTAATGGGTTGATGTCTGACAAAATCTCAACACGGATTCGAAAAGCTCGTTTGGCTTTTGTCAACTTACGTCGCCTATGGCGAAAGTGAGATATCTGTCTATCAATAAAAGGACGAGTATACCGCACGGCAGTTCATTCTGTTCTACCTTACGGCTGTAAAACGTGGCCATTAAGAGTTGAAGATACTCGTAAGTTACTAGTGTTTGATCACAGATGCCTTAGAAATATTGCTCGCATGTATTGGGATCACCGGGTTAGTAATAGTGAGGTTAGATGTAGGGTATTAGGGAATGATGGTAAATCAGTTGATGAGGTTATGAATCTTCATCGACTGAGATGGTTGGGCCACGTGTTACGTATGCCTGAACACCGATTACCACGACGTGCAATGCTAAACGATGTCGGAGATGGTTGGAAGAAAGTTAGGGGCGGCCAAACCAAAGCGTGGCATCAGTGCTTGAAGTCCCAAACTTCTGGTCTGAGCCATGTTGGAAGATGGAAACAGCATTCTCGTCGACTGAATTCTCGGGTATTGACCTCCTTCCAGAAGTTCCACTTATCGACTTAGAATACACAGATGACATAGTCCTGTTTGGTGAAGACGCTGATTAAATGCAGAGTCTTCTGGTAGCATATATACATATACATAAGAAAATATGGAAACTATACAAAAGTAAATGATATACTATCAATAAAATAACTACTAACTTGTATGGAATGTTTTCTGCTTTGCATTGTTCTTCAGTTTTACCAACCCAAGCACATTCAGGATGAGTATAGATAACTCTAGGGACACAGTCATAATCAATGTGTACAGCACCACCAAGCATTCCTTCAACACAAATTATTCCTTCGTCTTCAGCTTTGTGTGCTAACATTGGACCAGGTACACAGTCACCGATAGCATAAATACTAATATTTGAAATAAGACATTTATAAATGTTTTCAGTAAATAAAATAATTAGAAGTACTAAAGTATCACACAAAAACATGGTTTATATCAAATTATAAGACGGTAAGCAATGCACAACTATTTTCTTCTGAGTTTTATTACGATAAACCATGTAAAAACTCCGCCTGCAGCTCTTCTAAAGTTACTGCCAGTCCCAAGCCCGGGTAAAGGAGGAGGGTTGGGCATTGGGGTTAGCGACCTCATCCCGTAGAAAACTAACTCGCTAAAAAACGCTAACCAGAAAAATTAATTCAAACCATTTAAACTCTGCCCTGAGAGTTAGAAGGTCTTCATTTAGAAGAAATATGATGACTCATGGTCAAAGCCGAGTTCCTTCGGAAGCCACGAGGCCGATACCCCTTATAACAACCAGAGAATCAATTTTTATAGGTACATGGAACGTCCGGACAATGTGGAAGACCGAGAAGACCAGTCAAATAGCAACGCAAATGAGGAGATACAACTTGGCAGTACTCGGAATCAGCAAAACCCTTTGGACCCAAGCTGGACAACAAAAGCTAAATACGGGAGAGATGCTGCTATACTCTGGTCATGAAGAGGAAAATGCTCCTCGCACTCAAGGAGTTGCTTTAATGCTGTCCAAAGTAGTAAGAAATGCACTTGTAGGATGGGAATCTCACGGATCCAGAATCACCAAAGCATCACTCAAAAAAAGAAGGAGGGGATCACAATGAATATTATCCAATGTTATGCGCCCACCAATGATAGCAACGAAGACATTAAAGATCAATTATACGAGTGGCTGCAGTCAATCATAGAAAAGTGCCTAAAAAAGGACCTCACCATTCTGATGGGAGATCTGAACACCAAAGTCGGAACAGACAACACCGGATATGAAGATATCATGGGACGATATGGACTGGGAGAGAGAAACGGAGATGGGGAAAGATTTGCAAATCTGTGTGCATTCAACAAATTAGTCATAGGCGGCACAATATTTTCACACCAACGTATACACAAAGCTACATGGATCTCACCGGACCACACCACAGAGAACCAGATAGATCATGTTTGCATCAATAAAAAGTTTCGAAGGACAATGGAAGATGTGAGAACCAGGAGAGGAGCTGACATAGCTTCCAATCATCACCTAGTTGTGGCCAATTTAAAACTGAAGCTAAAGAAGAACAGGACAACTGGTCAAATAGCACTGCAAAGGTTTAATACAGCCTCAAAACAACTTTCAACCAATATCAAAGTCAAAATCTTCAATACTAACGTCAAGGTACTTCTACTGTACGGAGTTGAAACTTGGAGAACTACAACAACTACCATCAAGAAGGTACAAGTATTTATAAATGGTTGTCTACGCAAGATATTCAACATCCATTAACCGGACACCATCAGCAACAGCCTTCTCTCGGAGAGAACAAACCAGCTTTCAGCTGAAGAATAAATTAGAAAAAGACGATGGAAATGGACAGTCAGTGAGCTACAACGTAGGACCAGGCACATATATGCATCGGTCCAAGTTGCTATATCTCACTAACACAACAAGATGGACACCGGATTCATAAAAGTAGTTAATTCAGTTGTGGTAATATATAAAAGAAATATTGCAATAAGGCTATAGTACAGGAGGAAAGGATTAGTTCATAGAAAGAAAGATATGAAGCGATTTCAATCTCTTAGTTTAAGGGGAGACAGAGAGTGTATACACCGACGCCATTGTGATCGATTCTGAGCTATGTCACTAAGAGTCTCCAACCATTGGTTACGATAGTCACGCGGACCCCAACCAAATAGTCTGCATCTACCAACATGGCTCAGATCAGAAGTTTGGGACTTCAAGCACTGATGCCACGCTTTGGTTTGGCCGCCCCTAACTTTCTTCCAACCATCTCCGACATCGTTTAGCATTGCACGTCGTGGTAATCGGTGTTCAGGCATACGTAACACGTGGCCCAACCATCTCAGTCGATGAAGATTCATAACCTCATCAACTGATTTACCATCATTCCCTAATACCCTACATCTAACCTCACTATTACTAACCCGGTGATCCCAATACATGCGAGCAATATTTCTAAGGCATCTGTGATCAAACACTAGTAACTTACGAGTATCTTCAACTCTTAATGGCCACGTTTTACAGCCGTAAGGTAGAACAGAATGAACTGCCGTGCGGTATACTCGTCCTTTTATTGATAGACAGATATCTCACTTTCGCCATAGGCGACGTAAGTTGACAAAAGCCAAACGAGCTTTTCGAATCCGTGTTGAGATTTTGTCAGACATCAACCCATTAGGGCTGATAAGACTTCCAAGATAAGTGAAATTGTCAAAGCGTTCCACTACTTCGCTCCCTATCCTTAGTTCAGGTGTTGACACAGATCAGTCCTGAAGGAACAACTTGCATTAAGAGGGAGAGAAGCGCATTCCGAACATTCTGGCATTGTTGCTTAGTGCTACCAAAAGACTCTGTATTTAATCAGCGTCTTCACCAAACAGGACTATGTCATCTGTGTATTCTAAGTCGATAAGTGAACCCCCTGGAAGGAGATCAATACCCGAGAATTCAGTCGACGAGAATGCTATTTCCATCAGTATGTCTATGATGAAGTTAAACGAAAATCGAGATAGTGAATAGCCCTGACTGACACCACTTGAGGTTGCAAAAGCAAATGACAGTTCGCCATAAGCTCTGACTCGACTAGTAGTGTTCGAGTAAAGAGCCTTCACAAGGTGTGTGTACTTCTGAAGTACGCCTTTAAATGACAGACACTGCCACAGAATCACGCAGTCTACGGAGTCAAATGCTGCTTTTTAGTCAAGAAAGACCACCATAGTGATGCAATAACAAAGAGTGATGATATTTTTTTTATAAAAAGACCCATTGTGTCATTGTGATGTATCTCAATCACAATAACACTAGTTGATTCCAACATTTTATCTACAGCCATTGCCTAAAATAGTAGCCTTGAAGAGATATTACAAATATATTACTTCATTTATAACAATCAACTCAATGCTCAATTTATTCGAAATTACCAAGTCAAACGTTTGCAATAATATCAAGTTTAGGAGAATAGCTGTAATATTTAACTGATGCTAACCTGAGAAAACTAGTGAATAATAAAGATCATTAGTTAATCACTATTCAGTTATAAGCAGCTTACGGTCTGCTACAAATAAGTGACAACTGAAGTTGATACATCAGTAAAGAGAAAAAGATGGAGAAGAGATATGCTAAAAGGATAAAACTAGGTAGTGAAAAACCAGTACGAAGCAATATTGAAACTCATGATTTAGAAAACGGCAGTAAATGAATACATCTCTGTAGCATAGCTACTGGTTCAGAGACAGGCTGTGTTTAGACATAAGTTAATATTTTTTAAAAAGAGACTATGAATTATTTTTAAAACCGAACAAAGAGGTTATTACTTATGAACTACTTTTCTGGAATTTGATAGTTGAAAATTATTCAGTCAGTTTTAATTAGTTAACTGGTATTAATTTATCCAATGCATAGCTTTCTACACTCCGAAGTTTGTTTGAAATTAATGCATATTTCATATCTTTAAGGTCTCTTGGAATTTTCTTCACATTGGCTAATAAGCTTAACACATTAAAAAAAAGAATTGTATACTCATTAAATATCTGACTGAGTTAATTTTATACAATCAGATGTTCTATGAGTAACATTGATTTAGGAGGATTGTATCAATCCAAAGTAACTTGTAACTATTGGATTTTCTTTTCCTCCACTAAAAAAAAACATTATCAGGCATTAAAAAATAACGGCTGTTATGTGTAGTATGAATAAAGGTACTATATCTCAATTTGACATTCACATAGATGTATCAAATAACTCAAGAAAACCAAAAACTGCATATATAACAATTTCAGCTAACCAGTACTTTTAAGGTTTAAGTGGTGTAGATTATTTTTTGTGGTTAGCGTTATTTTGGTATGGTTTTTTGTTCAGAGTTGGGTTGCTAACCTTATCCTCGATCTTTTTCCTTTACCCGGGCTTGGGAGTGGAAGTGACCCTAGAAGGACCTCAGTCCTAACTTGGAATTCTCAAGGCAAAGGGAGAAGACGCAGGCACATCACGCTGGGAATTGTGTGCAGAAATCAAAAGGACGAATAGCATTTGAATATAATTAGAGAGTTTATGAAAGACGGGGTTAGAGATTCGTGATCGGAAGCCTATGCCCCAAGAGGCCCAAGTAAGTAATACTTTCGGAAAATTCCGAAACTCCATATACCCTTTATTTCTCGATTTGATTCAATAAACAAAACAATCATTAATAATTTCATGTTTTTCTGACGATCTCTAGAAGCATAAGATGGCTGGTAACCATATCTACATCCTTAAGTTTATGCACCTCAACTGACCTCGAGACAGTCGAACTCCTATGACTACTTTTGCTCATCTTATGTTTCCGTTTCATAGCTCAATGAGTCTATTTACATACACTTTAATGGAAGTATCATCTGCAATGGTTTGTCTCTTTCATAAGTTTTAATAATTCAATGACAAGACGAAGTTTATCAGAACTATGAAATATAACAGGGAAAGACATTCCAAACAATCTGATCACAAATTCACTTGTTCAGGTATTTATAAACGAAAACTAAAGGTGAACTGTACAAATTGGAAGATAAGCGAAAGACAAAATGACAAAGAAAACAATATGTTCTTCTCTACACCTTATAATCCTGATTAACTTTATCTTATTTTGGCATTCTTTTAAAGAAATATCATCTTTATTATTTTAGCGAAGATCCATCATTATGCTTTATTTCATGGACATTAATCAACAGTGTTATCGGGTTTCGATTACCAATATATTTTATTAATGAAAATCATTTTGTTTTCTTGAAACATTTGTCAAACTTATCTATAATACAGAGTGAAACATGACAAGACATTTGTTTGAGGTTTAAAGAATTTCTGGTTAGCATTAGTGGACATCTAGGATGCACTTGGACG